GTTGGCTGAAATTTGTCCCCATTCTGACATAAAGACACTGAATCTCAGAGGTTTGTCCAAATTCAAGGAGCTACTCAGTGTCTCCAACTGTTATCAGACTTTGAAAAGTTAAGTCTGACTTTATTTTATTAACTGTCCAGTTTTTCAATTCCCTAGAGATGTTATCTGTACCTGTAACTTTCTAGTACTAACTCATTGCTTTCTATTTTGCGTAATACTGGTATAAAGTATACCTTCAAAATCTTCCCAGTCTAGTGTAAGCACCTCCAAAATCTCTGCATGATTATTGACCTAACTCTTGAGACTTAGCAGGTACTCAGAAAATGCTTGTGAATGAACAAATGAATGCATGTGAGGCCCACATATCTGGCTGAGAGCTAACACCTGCCTCTTGTAGAGAAGTCCAGACCCATGGGGCTGGCTTAAACTCCAAAGCCAATTTGCCACCAGTATGTCTATATAAACAGAATTACCTATCTTTTCACCTGAGTAGAAGAGAAGATTTTTAGAATGACTTTCATGCCCAATTATAAAAGAAAATGCATGCTAATTGTAGAAGATCTAGAAAATGCAGAAAAATATAAATAAGAAAATAAAAATAACTCCATATGAATGGATAAAGAAGATGTGGTCTATATGTACAATGGAATATTACTCAGCCATTAGAAAGGATGGATACCCACCATTTGCTTCAACATGGATGGAACTTGAGGGTATTATGCTGAGTGAAGTAAGTCAATCAGAGAAGGACAATCATTATATGGTTTCACTTATACGGGGAATATAAGAAATAGTGAAAAGGATTATAGGGGAAAGGAGGGAAAATGAGTGGGAAAAATTAGAGAGGGTGACAAAACATGAGAGACTCCTAACTCTGGGAAATGAACAAGGGGTAGTGGAAGGGGAGGTGGGTGGGGGGATGGGTGACTGGGTGATGGGCACTGAGGAAGGCACTTGACGGGATGAGCACTGGGTGCTATACTATATGTTGGCAAATCGAATTTCAGTAAAAAAATATATATAAAAAAATAAACTAATGATTAAAAAAATAACTCCATATTCTAAAGGTTTGTTCTCCCAATCACTGTTTTGAAGACATTTTATGCACACACAATTTCTATAGCTGGAATAATATGTAGTATTATAGCCTTGTTGTTTACTCTTTATCATGTCCTTTAAAATCTTTTTAAAAAGAAACTTGTCTTTGGTCTCAAACTGTTCCATCATATGGAGGGCCATAATTTATTATTAGACATTTAGGTGCTGTCATTTTTTGCTATTATAAATAATGTTGTTATGAACATCTTTCTATATAAATCTTTGTGAGCATGACCATCTGTCCATTGGAGTCCCTTGATTGGTGACACATACCTGTACTAACTGACATTTGACATGTGGAACTGAAGCTGTGCCACTGTAACTTGTCAAGAAGACAAATAGGGTAACAGTGGCCTGTCTCACTTTTATAAAATGACATGGATACAACTATAATTTTGCAGGCCATTTGTGTGGTTAGAAGCTTGATGCCTCATTGATTCCATACACAATGTATTCCAAAAGAATGAAGGTGACTTTAGAGACAGTCAGCCATTTAGAATCCAATTAATCAAACTTCAGGATATTTGGTGCCCAACACCATCCACAGACATCGTGATCCATCAGATTCTTGTTACTCTGAATGAGAATTTAGCAAGGGATGTGGGGATTAGGTCTGGCTTGTGGGTTCTCTTCTGAAAATAACGGGAGAGCTTGGTCTTTAAAACTAAGTAATGTTCGTGTGGAAGGCTTTTGTAAAAAAAAAAAAAGAGAGAGAAAAAAGAATAAAATATTCTCAAATTTAGCAAACTTTACCAAAAACTGTCAAAAGAGGAACTCCTTAGTTAAGCTTGAGTGTCACCTCACCAGAGGACTGGAATTTTAAAATCACAGTCTTAGAATTCTGCTTCCAGGTCATCTGAGGCATATAGCATGTCAACTCATCAAGTTCTTTAAACTGGGATTTCATTAATTTTGTCAATTTCTGGCAGAATTGACAAAAATTAAAATCCATATATAAAAGTTCAGTTTCCAGTTACTAAGGCTACAAGCATGAATGCTTAGTATTCGTCTCCAATAGCCTAAGAGGATAAGCTTTTACCTTTGATCAGGAATTTATTTAATCTTCTAGGACAGTATTGGACATTCTAGGTCCAAATTCCAGGCATTTAATGTTTCAGTTTTGCTCTCTGCTGCATGATGACAATTTAATCTCTAGCTTTTAACACTTATTGTACTAAATTGCTATATTAATATTAATATCGGAATGTGAAAAATTCAACTGATAAATGGTATGCAAATATGCCTAATGCAAACTTTAGTGCACTCAAAAAATCCATTGCAACAAAGGTAACTAAGTGGTAAAAAGACCAACTAATCGTCATTAAAAGGCAAGATAGTTATAAGTAAAAGAGTGACATACTATAAAGCAAACATGACTGATTTTAATCAAGCCATATGAATATAATAGGTGGTATAAACCTTTGATTATATTATGGGGTGTAAACAGGGAACATCCCCCTGCCCTGCCCCACCCCAGTCACTGGGCTACCGGTTGAATTGTATCTGCAAAAAAAGATAATGTTGAAATCTGAACCTCTGGGAGCTGCTCATGTGACCATATTTAGAAATAGGGTCTTTGCAGATGTAATCCAATGAAGATGAGGCCGTTAGAGTGGGTCTAGTCCACATGATGGGTGTCCTCACAAAACAATGCAAATTTGGGTAGACAGGCACAGGAGGAAGACAGTGAAGATGGCCATGTCCCTATGGAGGCGGAGACTGGACTGATGCTCCTTCAAGCCAAGCAATGCTGAGGATTTCGAGCAAACATCCACAGCCAGAAGAGGAAGGGAAGAATTCTCTCCCATCCGTTTCTGAAGTAACGTGGCCCTACTGACACAGCAATTTCAGATTTCTGGCCTCTGGAACTGGGAGACAGTATATTTCTCTTGTTTTAAGTCACCCAGTTTGTGATGCTTTGTTACGGCAGCCCGAGCAAACTAATACTCCTAGCTTTCACTTTGCTCTGCCAAATTCCATTTTTCTTTTTCTCTTGTCTTAATTAAATCTGGGAAAGATCACATAGATTTCTGGTTTCTGTTTTTAAAAGTGAGTTCAGTTTAAGTTTCCAATCTCATATCCAATTTACATCTCACCTTCCCTGCCTCCAGTCAGCCAGGTTCAAGCATCAGAGGACTTTGGGTGGGGAAGGAAGGTGGGTTACTCTGGCACATTTCCCACCCCTCCTAAAGGTGATGGGGAGAGGCCTGTCTCAGTCTAGGACACCTGTGTCCTCTCCATTTGCTGGGGCTGGGTCTCGTGCTCGGAGCAAGGAAGTGGACTAGGATAAATAGCAAGGGTTGTTTGCTATAATGGTCAATGATGGGGTATCACCTTTGACCTGTTCTTTCTAAATCTGGTTTTGTGTTATTGGCACCCCTGTGTTTCCTTGGTTTGGTGTTTGGCTTTACTCCTACCCACTCAGGCCTCCAGAGCTTTCTATGAAAGAGGCCACTGTGTATCCTTTTGGTGCTTTCCATAGAATCACATCCAAGATGCTGGATGGCCTCAGAGTGCCTGTCTTTCCTCTTCTCTGTCCTTCCTGAGTAGGCATGAGAACCACCAACATCCTCCACTCTCTCTGTCTTGGGACTCTGCTGGAAAATGAGTGGTACCCATGTTTTTCTAGTCATGCTCCCTCCACCCTTCTCTGAAAATGGTGACGGCCACCCTTGTCAGAACTCTGCCTTCAGCACCCTCTAGGCAGGAAGTGGTCTCATGCTCAGGAAGGGAGAACCCCTCCACACCTGCCCTCATCAGGATCCATAGCTCCCAGAGATTCCTCCTGCAACCTGTTCACAGGGGTCAGCTCTAAGACTGCACTGCATCCCGCTAACCAGCAGGGGCAGAACCTATATCCTTGCTGCAGATGCCCCACACCCTATAAAAGATTCTTGAGAGGCTCCAATTGCCTGGCTTTGGTAGATACTTTCTTCAGCCTCCTCCTCACTCAGAGGAGGGAAAGGACTTAGCAGGGGTAGTAGGACTCTCTCTATGAATACTGTATTCACCTGGATGCAGATTTCCATGGCCTCCTTCCCACCTCTCCTGCCCCCTTCCTCTCTCCAGGAAAGGTATGGGGCAGGTGTGAGAGCTGGGGAGAGTGGCTCCAACTCAGTCCAGAGGAAATGTTCTTGATTCAGTTGTTAGTGGCTTTCCGTAGAACACGGGAGTATTAAATGCCTCTTTGCCCTCATGTTTGATTTACTAACTGATCTCAAAACCTTAGCCAGCCAATCTCCAAGCCTATTAGTGGAAGATTTACTTCCTCTAAAACTCAATGGGATTCCTACCTAGTAGAAGGTGGCCATATCTCTTCGTCCTCACTCTTTGACTTGGGGGTGCTGAAGGCATGATGCTGACAAGGTGGCCTGCATTATTGTGAGACGTGGCAGGGGGGTGGCATGACAGGAGAAGATGGTTACTGACTCCTGGGAAAAGAAAAGGTCCCACTCAATTGCCATTACACCAGGAAAATGTTTCTGGTCCTAGGTTTTTTTTTCCTTCCTCGTACTTGTCCTTTGATATTGCAAGATGTTTTAGATTTTGTTAACATGATGAATGAGATGGAAGGAGAGTGACATTTAATGTGTCGGGTCTAATGAGGGTGCTGCAAGTGGCTGTTCTTCATGGAGTATTTTCTGGCATAAGATGATAGGACTCACCTTTCCTTGCATTATTTTCTCCATAGTAATTATCCTCATCAAACATAATATATATTTTATATGCTTATTTTATTTTTTTATGCCTTCCTCCACATGAATGTGAGCTTCATGAAGGCAAAGGATTTTGCCTTTTATTCACTGCTAATTCCCAGCATCTTAAACAGTACTTGGCACATTGTAGGCATTCAGAATCATCTATTGAATGAGTGCATGAAGGAAGGTTAGGTTTCAAGAATGTCTTTTACAAGTTGTTGTACGTTTTTGTTTATTGATTAATTGAAGACAATTGTGGTTTTTGTTCTTAATTCTATTTGTGAGAATGCTTAATATTACAGGTTTCATAAGATCCTTAGAAGTCCCATCATTTTAGTGCAATGTGAACAGAAGAATTTACTGGATTGATGTGAAAGTTATCGTCTAGGTGTACACTATAGAACATCATGGGCTGGAACTGGATAGGAAAGGCTAAGGCAGGGGAGGCAGGGTGAAAGTAACACAAACGAATCTATGTCAATAACCTATGTGCGCACCAGTCTGCTGTTTGTAGCAGAGTGCCCTTTTGTAGGGATTATTTTTGAACAGTAAATCTGTTTATCAGTTATTGTTTTAGGCTGAACACCTTCCAGGATACAGTATATCCACTTTCCTGTTGGCACATCGTATAGCTCCTACTTCACAGATGTTCACTGTTTTCTCACTCATCGATGATCCCATTTTGACACAGTAGAGTTGGCTTCCACCCTTGAAGCACTGGGGAGGCAACAGGCAGACACATTTGGAAACGGAGGCTGAAATGAGAGGGAGACAGTGTGACTCACCAATGTACTTTGGGGTTTGATTTTACCTAGTTTGTCCCCAAAGCAGCAGGTACTTTGGTGGCAATGAATTAGAAAGCTGGAACAAAGGCAATGACCCAAAAGACCCAACTGTGGTCGAATGGAGTGATCTGGATGGAAGAGACTAGAATGCTCTAGTAAGCCAGTAAGATTCAGGAGTTGGGCTGTCCCTGACACCTCCTTCTCAATCAGTGCCCATATCTAATAGGTCAATACATCCCGTCAACCCATCTCCACAATGTCTTCAGTCTGTCCTTACTGTTATTTCTCATCGGCACCATCTGAGGTAACATTTAGTTATCTTCCATTGAGGTATATGATTCATAATTCATATAAATCTTGCATTCATGAAATTTTAAAAAATGATCACTTGGGATAAACTTACCAAAGCCAAGAATATTAAATATATTTTGAGTAAAGGAATATAGGCTTATTTATATACATGCAGTTTTAATCAAAGGTCAAAAATCCTCTATAGTTTGACCTCAAAATCCCTTTGCAACATTGTCTTTTCTGCTTTCTCCATTCCAGGTAAGGTAAGTCCCTCTCTGCTTCCCAAACAAGACCTCCACGGTGTTCTAGTTTTTGTCCTCTTGTCCATGCTATCCCCTTCTTCTGCTACACTGATGTGCTCTTTCCTACCTTCCCCTACATGTCCAGCTTCCACAGGTCTTACCTCCTCCAAAAAGTATTTCATAGCCACTTCCCTCCATACCAACTCAACTGTAACTAAAATTTTAACTAAACTTTAATAGTGTAAATTTGCTAGTATTATATCCGACATTTTTATACTTTCTTGTTAGTTAGCTTTTCATATACTTTTTTTTCCCCAAGTTCTAAGGGGTTTGTTTGAGATTGCATTCATCTCTCTATCCCACTTAGCTCTTAAGGAGGTGCTCAATTAATTCTACTTCATCAACTGATTTCAATTCTGAATTTGGGGGTATAGGTATAAATATTCAAAAAGAAGTGTATTGACTGATCTGGGATAATTCATGTTGCCAAAATATCTGAGTCAGACTGAGAATCAGTAATGCTGTCATTAAGAAGTAGCTTCTTGGGGATCCCTGGGTGGCTCAGTGGTTTAGTGCCTGCCTTTGGCCCAGGGCGCGATTCTGGAATCCAGGGATTGAGTCCTGTGTCAGGCTCCCGGCATGGAGCCTGCTTCTCTCTCTGCCTGTGTCTCTGCCTCTCTCTGTCTCTCTCTCTCTCTCTCTCTCTCTCTCATGAATAAATAAATAAATAAATCTTAAAAAAATAAAAAAGAAGTAGCTTCTTTTAGGTGGACGGCAGTTCTTTCCCATGTGTCTCAACCAATGGGAGAAAATAGGGAAAGGAAGTAGGAGATACTCATAGGCATGTAGACTTCCTGTCTTTAGTAGAAAACATTTCACGGAAAAGCATGCATTCCCTTGTAAGCCCTGTCGACCAGCTAGAGAAGATTCTAGTTGTGGAAGGTCTTGCTCATTGTTGTCAACAATAGAGTTTGGTGAAGGATGGGAGACTGCTCTGTCTTTGCAGAGGATATCAGTTCCCCAAGCTTGTGGAAAGGCCATGGTCACCATCCTTTTAGGATGGTTATGGTTTAAATGCTCTTAGCAAGATTATTTTAGACTACCAGCACCAAAAGACCCTTCCCAACACCTCTCACAATGCATCCTCAAGCACTCAATTTTCATGCTACCATCCTTATGAAACACTTCCAGGCCAGAAGATTTTTATCTCTCTCATAGTTCTTATTACTTACTAGCTTGCATTAAAGTTATTCATGCAATTATCATGAAAAGTTACTCCTTCAGCTACTATGAACAATTTGAAGGTACAAAACTCCTTTATCTTCAGAGTCCTCATCAGACCTTGTGCTGTGACTTCCTCATCTTGGATACTAAGGGTATGTGTGCTAAGTGGATTTTCCCTTTCTACTAGTTGATGGTGGATATTTTTAAAATTTAGGCAAAACAGTCAATGTCCAAAAAAAAAAAAAAAAGGATAAAAATAGGCTCTTTAAGAAGCCATTTGTGTTCTAACTTTTGAAAAGTGAACTTTGTTATTTTGAAGTTTCCATTTTAAACTTTTTCTTATTTCATTTTAGACAGAGAAGGAAAAGAATAGCAAAGTACACAATGTAATCAAGAACGCAGTTTAACCAAGGTGACCTTCAGTTTAACTCAAAATTAATATCCCAACTTGCCATGAGTGGGTTGGGTACAAAATACATTTTTTAGCTTTCTCTTTCTTCATACAATGCTGTGATTTGTGCATTGACAGTGCTCTATAGTGCTACTGAACATAATTCTCTGTGACATTGACTTTTGCTCACCAATTAGAGAAGACTGGCACAGGCAGACCGTATCTTTAGGGGGAAAAAGGCTTTCAGTATTCTGATTGTGTGCAGAATCAAAGAATATTTTAAATGACTTAAATCTTATTACAAAATGTTCATGTATTAGTTAGACTACCCCAGGACATTCTGCTAACTTGAGCAATATTGGTTAAGTATTCAAACTTTTCAGTGTTCTTCTTTTAGACAAACCTAAACTCCTCAATACTGTGGGATTTAGATACATGCACAGCAAAGAGCTAATGGTAAAGGCAGATTTTGATGAAATTGTAAGCTGGAAATTATTTTTTACTCAGACCTTAAAAGAATAATTTGTGGAAAGATAGCAAAAAAAAATGCATTGCAATAGAGAGTTCCATGAAGATCTTTTCTCTATGACAAATATGGAAGGATCGCAGCTAACACAAACACATTCCCAAATACCTAATCTACCTATTGTAGTATGGACAGGGACCATTTTAATCCCTCTGTTTCCTTTATCTTCAGTGTGTATTTTTGACAATAATTTTCCTACACTACAAATTTCAAAGAAAAAGTTTATATTTTTAATATGAATTGGTATTCCGTAATACTTTCGGCTCTTTTCTACCACAAATTATTATTTCTAAGAGACATGTCTGTTGGGTGATGGTGTTGATCCAGCAATGAAAAATGAATGGTAGTGTTTAGCTACAAGATGATTTGATACTGATCAAAATTGGGCAATGGATACATCAGGCCCTGGTCTGCTGTCTCTTTTGTGGAATTGCCTAGTTCAGATATGTCACAAAGTTTGGAAGCCTGAGTTGCCACCATCAGATGGCATATGGGCTATGCCACCTGTGTCTACCCTCTGTCATGAATTCAATCCTGCCACCTCCCAAGAGAGCTAGATCTTGATAATCAGTTGTAAGTGAATCAAGAAGGAAGTGGATTTGGGTAATAAGAGCTCTCCTCTTTTCCAGGACTGAATTAAGAGCCAAGGGGAAAAATAAGGATCTGTGTTTGTTTTTGCAAAAGTAAGGTGGTGTTAGCAAAAGTTAGATATAACAGTTCAACAAGTTTCCATTGCATATCTCATGTCTCAATCTAAGATAGTTTTTTAAAGATACGTCATAAGGAAAATCTAGCTGCCTATTTAAGTTCTGCTAAATCCTAATCTTCAGCCCATATTTATGTGTTATATAAAGCTTGGTTGAACTATTTCAGGGTCAAAATTCATCTTAGAGCAAATGCACTCACTGCTGTGAAGTTTCCTCTTCCAAGCAGTTCACAAACAAAATGCCAATAGCTAATTCATTTACCAAAAATAGAAATGTAATACCACTTCTTAAGTATCAAATTGACAGAGAAATAGAGAAGTAATAACTCCAAGGTTTGGTGAAGGTATGGAAGGCAGTCTTAATTATACATTGTAGATAGGAATATAATATGGTAGAAACATTTCTGGAAAGAAAGTTGATACACTTGATACACAGTTCCAGCGAAGACTTTACATTTGAAAATAATATTTACCTAGAAATTTCATTTTCTAAGGTACATCCTAAGGAAATAATCTTAGATTAAAGATTTATCTGTGCTAGATTTATCTATTATAGCACTGCTTATAATAGCAAAATATTGGGAAAAATCTAAACACTTAACAGAATATTGGTTAAATAAATTACAGAATGTCCATATAGGCTTTGGCAGACATTGAAAATTACATAGCAGAAAAATATATAATGACATGAAAATAGTTTCATGATACATTAAGTGAAAAACAGCAATATATAAAAAAAGATGTAAAGGATGATACTTTTTAAAAACATTATAATATAATCAGGGCCACCCCTGAGATGTATAAGGCCCTGAGGAAGTTTTGTTTCTTTTGTTTTATGAGATGCCTCTCTACATAATTACAGTCACTCTGAATTAGAGTGTCAGTACCATACTAGCAGTCTAATCTCAAGCAATCTTGGCAAAGAATATCCTGCTAGATGGTGGCTCATCACGCTGCTGTCTGGGAATGAAAGTCTAGTTCTGAGTCACGGAGGAATCCACAGGCATGGGTCCCAGAGCTACTTGGAGTATTTGGTTGACCCTATGCATGGTGAGAGAGAAGCAGTAGGTCAGAGAATGTTCCACAAAGGAGAAACAGTGCCTGTGCCCATGAGAAACCCTATCTAGGCTCAGAGTATCCTGCCTGATTAATACTGTCAGCTTTGGCTAGTCCCAGGTACTGCTAGAAGACTTAAAAACATTGGAAGAAGACGCTTCTGGTAAATAGTATCCACGAGGAACTTAGTCTAGGCTCAGGGCACTCTAGCTATTTTGTCCTAGCCAGTCCCAAATGCCAGAGGAAAATTTAGACAATTTTGCTAAATGTCCTCCAAAGCTAGGGGTGGGGAATGGTGCCTGAAGCATGAAACTGGGACAGGTGATTTTCTACTGCGGTCTAAGGGGTAGTACTGATTATACATACATAGAATGATAATTAGGAAGATTTACCCTTAAAAATGATGAAAGTAGTTATTTCTAATAGTGGGTGGGATATATTTTTTATTTCTATTTAAATAACTTTATAAAATTTTTTACAATGTTAAGGAATTATTTTTGATTAAGGAAAGGTTTTTTTTTGGTGGTTTTTTTGAAAGAGTGTATAAGTGCAAATAAGTTGAACTAGCTGAGCTGAAGGTTATGAGTGAGCATTTCTAGTATGTGGTCACCACTGGAGCTTACCTGAACATTTTTCCCAGTCGTAGCAGGTGTCATAGCCACAAGGTTCTTTCTTTGTGCTATTGGATGAAAGTATTCTCCTTTCAAGACCCCATTCTAACTGTGGACCATCTTGACAGGAACCAATTTGTAGAAAATGGAGTTGTTGATCATTTAAACACTTCTCAGCCAAAAACTTACAAGCTGACAAAGTAAAGTAATGGCTGGTGTCTGTATCAAACACACAGAGATCTTCTGAATAATGGCTGCCCAAGAGAGGAAAGCAAACATTTATATATAAAGACTAGAAAAAAGAGATGGCAGGTAGCCAATATAATATGTAAACTTACCACTCAGTTTTCTTCCCCTTAGTACCCAGTGCACCCAGCTTCTCTTCTTTCAGTTCCTCGTATCGTCTTGCATGCTCTGGGATTCATCTTACTAAAATTTCATCTTAATCTTGGTATTACTCCCAATTGTCTTCAAATCAAAGTCTGAATTCTTAAATTTTGGTAATCAAGATCTTCCACAATTTGGCTCCAATTAACTTTCCTTTCTAGAGTTATTTTCCTTTCTTTCTTAATATTCACCACCTGACAATTGTATTGATCATTCGAAAATGATACAATTACTTCTCCTTTGTTAGCATCCCATGTCCTGTTCAACCAGTGTTGCATTGTCTTCTCTGCCTATGTGTGTTCAATTCAATTCCTGGCTACATTTTGAAGCTAACCTTGATCAACCTAGCCCATAGAGTCTGGACCCCTCAACTCTGTAACACTCATTAATTGCAACACAAGAGTCTTATATCATTAGAGAGCTTTGCAAGTGTGTTTGTACTGTGATTGAGTGCATGAGCTTTTGTTATTCCTTGGGTAACTTTAATCTCCAAGTAGGTGGGTCTTTCTCCTAAGAGGTAACCAATGGCCATAGTCCTTTTGTTCCTTGATTACTCTAGATTTGAGTTTCTTCTTGGATGTCAGTTTTAGAGTTTACAATCAGGGTATCAATGTGTAAAATCATCTCTAGGAAGTAAAGGCCACTCTCTATGTGCAGAAAACATAAGCTGTGGGGCCAGTCATTCCCACAAACACCTTCAAAGCTGTGTGAAAGAGAACTGAGGACTACAGAAAGAGGCTAGAGAGGTAGGGAAGAGCTGAAATGTAGAGAGTTCCAGAGGACAATCTGCATTCTCATGACTTGGTATCGCAAAGATAAAGACAGAAGTTTCTTCCACATTAAGTGGGCAATATGAATGTTGCATGTATTCCCCAGAAGGTCATCTGCTAGATGAGAAGATTCTAGCAGCAGGAAGCTACACGGTGGATCACTTCTGGTGAAGACTGAGGGGGGCAGAGAGGACCACATTTGCACTGAATTATGCCTGTGGAATTATACAGATAAAGACCCTAGAGTGTTCCTAAATAAATAAATAAATAAATAAATAAATAAATAAATAAATAAATCCCTAGAACTGTTTGTTCACCTTCAGCACAGAGGAACATGAGAGCGACTTAGAGTCAAAAGTGAAGGATAACAACTGGGCACAGTCTGTTGGCTTCCTATTTTGATGTTCAGTCTTTCTCCCCCTCAGTAATTTGACTCTAACTTTATTCATAGTGCTTATGCATCCAGCCAAAGAACTACACTTCATAGCCTCTCTTGCAAGCTCATGTGGCCATATGAATAAGCAAAGGTTAATGAGATGGAAGTGAGTGATGGGTCTTCCAAGAATCCTCCTTAAAAAGAGAGAAAAATGTCCATTTTTTGGTCCTCTTGCTTCCTGCTCCTGCAGAGCAATCTCAGACCATGCAATAACTTTAAGGATGGCAGAACAAGAGCAGGAATGAGCCTCAGTCCTATCTGCCATGAGAGAGGTGCTGTTCTAGCCCAGATTGCCTACCTCTGCCTTTATTTTGTGAGATATAGAAATTAAATGTTACCTTCAGTAACACTGTTTTGAATTAAATTCAACTGAATATAGCCCTTAAATTAAGAAGCACCCTCGACTTTCCTCAGTTTGTTCATGTAAAGAGAAGGCAGTTCGGGGTGCCTGTCTGGCTCAGTTAGAAGAGCATGTGACTCTTGATCTTAGGGCTGGGATTTTGAGACCATGTTGGATTTAAAGATTACTTAAAAAAAAAAAGGCAGTTATAATAACAACAAAGAAGAGATAGCCATCTAGTCATGGCAGTCACAAGAGGATGTATCATTCTTCTTCATTCTTTCTACCCCAACATGAAAAAATAAACTGACAAAGGGGTGTGTATATATGTGAAGTCCATGCTTATACCACTGTCTCTATTCTAAGATTTTGGAGTCACAACCTTGTCCTGCATTTAGGGGGAGAGGAAGGAAGGCTTTGAGATAATTGAGTCTGAAACTAATTATGGACGGAAATAAGTCTTCACAAACAAAACTGAGTTTCGTAATAAACAAATGCCATGCAAACTTAGGGAATGGGGCTGAGAGATAATTAAGAAAGCTTGCTACTCAGTGGGGAAGAAATCAACACAGCACAGGGGGTATCAGTTATGTGAAAAATTAATATGTTCCATGTTTGTGCTTTAAGAAGCCCAGCTCCTCTATCAAGCTAGTTACACTAGAGTGGTTTTCCCATTTTCCAAATACAGTCCGTAGAGTATCTCTCACCTACAGTCTTCTTCTGGTGACATGCAAAAGCATTCAGATCCCAACTGTTTTTGTCCTGGTTGACAATGGCCCTTTAATTTTGTCAAAACATCTGAAACAAAAGAAAAGGGGCAAAGAACAGTGCACAGCATGGATTCCAAGTGGTAAGTTTGGATTTAGGAGGAAAGGCAGTGGTGAAAAGTTCTCACTCAGCACCTGCAATTAGAGCACTCATTTTGCCTTTTCCAAATATGTTGTCATGAAATATTCCATCTGAAAGGTCCTTTCTAGCTCTCATGAGCTGTCATTTTCCAACCTAAAATTGCTGTTTAGTTCAGAGAGCTGAAGAAAATGGAATTGCTGAAATTTCTATTCATTTGTTCTTCAAATATTTACTGGGCTACTAAGATACTCTCAGCACTGTGTTTGGTTCTGGAAATAGTGGGTTGAGTAAAATTTTACCCAGGTTCTATGCTCACAGAGCCTAGAGTTTTGTGAGGGCAGAGTGACATTAATCAAACACACAAATACAAATAGAATTGCTCTTGTTATTTGTGTCATTAAAGAGAAAGCATATAATCAAGAAAATTGACGTCGCAAGGAAGGTTACGAATGGCAAAATGGCAAGAAGAAAGGGAAAGTGTTTATAGCAGAGGAAACATTAGGTATGGAAGTTCTAAAGAGAGAGGCTAAACAAACAAACAAACAAATAAATAAATAAATAAATAAATAAATAAATAAAGAGAGGCAGCATATGATTTTCCTTGAACTGCAAGAAGGCCTGCATGGTTTAAGTACAATAAAACAAGAGCATGAAACAAGATGAGGCCAGAGAGGTGAGTGTGTGTCAGGCTGTCTGGAGTCTTATGGGGCTTCTGAAAGATTTTGCCTTTATTTTATAAACAATGAAAATTCTTTGGTGGGTCTTAAGCAGGTGGTCATATGACAAAATCAGGTCTGGATCCCGAAAAAGAAATTAATTCTCGTTGTTGTGTGGAGAATGGATTTGAAGAGGCATGGTGGCCAAGAAAGGTATGGGTAGACAATCAATGGGAGTTCCGGTGAAAGAGGATGGTAATTTGGAGCAAAATATTGAGTTGGAAATGGAGAGAAGTAGATAAATCAGTGACATATTTAGTAGGTTAAATGGATCAAGCTGCATATTGTGGGTAAGTTATGAGAGCGGCAAAGTATGATTCTTAGGTTTCTGGTTTGCATTAGACAATAGACATTGGTGCCTTAACTGAAATAGAAAATATTGTAAGATGCTTAGTTTTAGAGAAGTGAGGGTAATGACTCAAGAGTTCTCTGCATATGTTAAATTTGTGGTATCTGTAAGACAAACTAGATCAAAATAGATACATAAAAATGTGGCTATTTGGGTTTGAGCTCAGTGGAGAAGTCTGTGCTAATAATTTAAATTTGTTATAATTCTATGGAGAATCATTGAAGCCATGGGTTTGGGTGAGATTCTCCAGTAGGAAAATGTAGCATAAGGTGAGAAGACAGATATGAGCCTTGAGGAACTCCAACATTTAATGTCCAAGCACAGGCAGGAGGCTGCCAAAAACAGCATCAGCCAGAGAGGTAGAAGCTAAACAAGATGATATATATATCATATATATATATGATATATATGATCATCATCATATATGATATATGATATATATGAAGAACACGAAGAGGAATATCAGCACTGTTGGATGTTTCTAAGAGGTCAAAGGAGATGAGGATCAAAATAATATCTATTATTTTAGAAGTATAGATGTCAGTGACAATGGTGAAAATGTTTCTTTTGGGGTCATGGCTTGAATGTCAGATTTTCTTATAAGAATTGATGGAGAAATGTAACTCCTAAATGAAGCAATTTATCCCTGCATGATATTCTAGGTACTAGGATATTATGGTGGGGGAAAAAAAAGATAAAAAGAATGAAAACAGCGGTGGTCCCTTTTTTGCATGAATGTAAAAGAACACTGTGAAAACAGACATTACTCAAATAATCATAGTAATGGGTTCACATAAAGGCCGTGATAGGTATTTTGAAATAAGGGAACATGGCTCCAGAGACCAAATAACAAAACCCCAACTGAGAAATATAAGGAAAGATCCAGGAGGAAATGAGACTTGAGACAAGAATAGTGTGTATGTGAACAAGGGGGATTAAAGCAGAGGGAGTAACACTTGGGTGTATTATATGGAAGGGGAAGTCTTGGTTGTCTTGGTTTACATTAACATCCATCCAGAGGACCTCTAGGCTCGTTGAACTGGACTCGTAGCTGACTGTGTGAAACAAACTTTCCAGGACTGAATCTGACTAATCAGGCATCCACAGAACCACAGTGGCTTCCAGAAGCAAGTAATCATCAAAGGGTGACAGTAGGCAGCTATAGCTAGATATTTTGCCACATTAGATGGTAGAACAGGAGATGGAGCTCATGGTTGCTCCTGTTGGCCTACCAGACAGAAGGTTTGATGAGGGAAGAGGTTTATGTTAAAGGCAAAAATAAAGATTTGGTAGGTTTTAAGAATTGGTAGGTTTTCTTCATAGCAATGAATTTCATAGCATTTCCTATACTCCTACTCTATCAGGAACCTCATTCCTTCTGGTGAAATCTGGCCCAGAACTTTCCTGGACATGGAGACCTAGAGCTGCTGGGAAGGCCTCAGATGCTAAGCTTTTCCAGTGTCATGGGATTGTTTTCCTTTGTTTAGCTGTAGAGCTATACCTCTTTGCCTTTTGTAACTAAATCCACACTTAGGTCAGGGAAGGACCCCGAGCTGTACATTGTTTCCAAAGAGAATCAATTCTCAAGCATTTGGCTGATGTGAAGTTGTCATTGATCACATCCAAGGAGTCTGCTCCCTCAGTGTGTCAGGTGGAAGTCAGAACCGGCTGTCAGCTGTCCACACTGCCTGGCAGTTTGTGAAAGACATGGAAATAACACCGTGATCTTTGGAGTGCTGTGGTCAAGGGGATCTTCTGGAAGTGTCAATTTCTCAGAGGAGGAAAAAGTAATAACGGAAACATATGTCATCTCATTTCCTCAGGAAGCCAGACCCTTTTTCACATTAAAAGAATTAGAAATCTTTTCCTAACCAAGGTTGGCCTGAAAGCCTCTTTGTCTCATAGCTCTCCACACATTGAGAGGAAAGAGTGTTCAGTTTTATTGATGATTTGCTCTCTCTTTCTGACTACCCTTATTGATCTTTTTGCCAGTGTTGTTGGAGAGAAAACATATGAGACAGGATGTTTAGTTACTTTACCTAGATATAGAACATTTCATTCTCTCTCTGAATGGATTAAAATTTAAATTTCTTCTCCAAACACAGAGTCATGGGTCTGTGTGATGTGCCTCTGTGTGTGTGTGTGTGTGTGTGTGTGTGTGTGTGTACAGTGCTGTTATTTGTATAGAGAAGATGCTACGTAAGATGCCCAGAGGCCATCTGAAGCCTGTGGTTCCCTCTGATATATATGATCAGGAGTCAGGTGAAATCAAGCCACAATATAAACTTGAATTTTCATGATATCTCTTTTTCAATAGTTTCAAGGTTATCTTAATAGGTTAACTTTTGCCCTTTTCTTCCCTCAGTTTGATGGACTAGAAGAGGATAAAGAAGGGCAGATGGTAATGAGCTTGGGGAATGCTCAGTTCCTGTTGACCCAAACGCCTGACCTTGAGTTTAACTTAGTCTCTCTACACCTCCTGCTTTTGCATAAGCAAAATGGGCCTAATTATAGCTCATCTCAGATACATCTTCCAGTATTCTCTGAATAAAAATGAGACATGCTTTGAAAACGCATGCTGAAAAAGTTGGACGATCTGAATTAGTAGAAGCCCTTAGTGTCTTCCAAGTAACTGACTTGCCAGACTATTTTCTCCAGCCCCTCTATGGCAGTTGCCTGATGTTGAACTTCCAGGTTTGTGGGTTCCTCTTTTAGAGTAGACAGTTAGACAGTAATGAGTAGGACAGGGATGGAGCAGAAAGGCACCTGTTAGGCATCAAAGAGGAGTAAGGGCACCTGAATCCTAGGCCAATAGCAAGCTGAGGCTATCTGGTATCCCCAGATGTCTTTTCCCCTCATTATAATATCATTCACATTACTGTTTGGAAAGCTCTTCATCCCTAAAATCACCATGACAGTTCTGATCAATCCAAATAAGAAAAGGAAAAGGGTGGTACCTGGTCCTGGAAAAAAGCAGGCTCCACCAGAAAGGTCCCACCTACCCCAGTGAACATTCCTCCCTTAATTACTCAAAATACAATAAAAGCTTGAAAATAGAAGCAATCCAGGACATTTGCTCACTGGAGTCTGTCCATTCTTCCTCTAAGAGTGTAATTTCACTTTGATAAACTCTCCTGACCTGCTCATCTGCTCTGTCTGGCCTGTCCTTGAATTCTTGCAATGAGACCAAGAGACCAAGAAGAGACCAAGAGCCTTTTGCAATCTTTTTTGGCAACACACTCTCTCACAGCCTCATGCTTCTGTCCTGACCAGCTGAGCTACAGGTTTATTAGTGTTATTGGTCTCCCAATCTATATATGCCAGTTGTTACTGTAATTGTGTAAATTGATGAAATATAGCAAGTGATAAATAAAGGAGGGAAGGAGTTGTTTTTATAAAAAATTGAGACTTTTGAACAATTATAAGTGATTTGCAAATATTTTGCATTAAGTAGGGATGAGAATACTGTAAACGATTATGATTATATATATATATATATATATATATAAATTTAAAATATTCTCTAGTCAATTTGTTTCAAGGTGCATTTATGTTTTTACCTCTCTTCAAAATAATGGTTCCCAACTCTGCATGCATTCTGGTTAGCTAGCAGAGATTTTAAACAACATCAAATACCAGGCCCTCCCCAGCTCAGTGACCTCAGAATTGGGGGAGGGGACCTAGGCAGAGGTGATTTTTTTAAAGAAGTACCCCACCTGGAGTTAAAAAAAAATTGTTTTAGGGGAACTGATATGGGATAACATAGATGATGAATTATGTATTTGTTTTATTTGAGGAAGCAGTCTTGGGACTCAAATCAGAAGACCCTTTAGAAAATAAGAACTTGGTTTTATGTAGAAACTGGTTGAATAATTGTGCATTTCTATATTTGAAGTTAAAACAAAAATGTTTAGGTAATTAAAAAGTAGTATGCATTACCTTTTTATGGCTCTCCGCTTTACCCAAATTTTTAGTTTACCATTAATTCTCATTTTGTTAGATGAGAGAGCTTGTACTCCCTCAAAATATTGAAGCATTATATTGGAAAAGAAAATAAATCTCACTCTCTAAAATTTGAAGATACCTACTTGACCAATAACTTCTTATTTGCTGCCTGACCTCATCATCACACAGGTTGAAATATAAAACCTAGTCCATATTGGAATCTTCTGCTTTTTCCTCCCAAAACATGCTCAAAAAATAGCACCACTGTGGATGCTATACCACCAGTCCTGGGGGGTACCATCTCAGCAGACCGCAGAATCCTGAGCTGCCACTCACCACTCACCTTTTTCACAGGTGAGTGAGTTTGAAATGGGAGGTGTCCAGGAATCCTCACTGCATGTGTACCTTGATGGCCCAGCAACAACAAAGCCTTTGGGGCAGGTTAGCTCAATGGATTCTCCAATTCTATATAATCTCTGAAATGGTGAGATCGTCAGAACTTCCTGCACAACAGGCCTGAGGCATTCTGTCTCTGCAGGCAGAAAAACAGTTCATTCAGATTGACTTAGTGGAGCAGAATGCTTGATAAATGTAAGCAGATTTTAGGCAATGCAAGAGGTGATTTTAAGGTGACTTACTGCATTGGTGCAGCTTTAATGCCATATTTTGGATCAGAAAACTAGGGGTGGAGTGTGGGGTAGAGGATCCCAGGCTTCCCCTGAGAGACACCTCCACTGAGGCACTCTCTTTAGATCAATTATCTGAGGTTCCCTTGCTAGGGATGTGACTCCAGAAACTTCCAACTTTATTGGGACTTTTTCCTTTCAAAAATATTCTTCCCCTCTTCTCCCTAGCATTTTTTTTTTCCCCAAAGCAAGTCACCACACTGTGGATGACTCAGAGGTAGATCTAATTGACACTGATCTCAACTCTGCTTCATGGGGCTCCCTATTAACTCTTTGGGGTGCCTACTTGAACCTTCTTGGAATCTTATTTTGACTTTACTGTAGCCTACAAATATAGGGAGCCTATAAATGTCTCCTCTCTTCCTCAGTAAAGGATGTGAATGTGCTACAAGGAGAAAACTGCATTTCACATAAAATCCCATTTCTGATACATAAAGAATATAAGTATCATCTTCCCGGGACTCATCAATTTGCATTAATTTGCATATCAGGCAAGCAAAAGTCTTTTCCAATGTAGTTCTTGGACTTTCCAGATTTCTTTGTAAGCATAAGCGTTATAGTCCTGCATCTATGAGGCTAATATACAGGGGCACCAGAACTGAAATAGGAAGACATTTTGCAATCAAATTTTACCAGATGAATCCTATTTTCTGCTTCACTAAATATTTTCACGAAAAAAATTGTATAATGTAGTGATATAAAGGTATGATTTTGCTCTAGTTATATGGGGCATGTTCATTCTTTAGAGCAGTCATGCAAAAAGTCTGCCTTGATCTCACTTCTGCATTCCACATCTCCTCGCCTCCAGGTCCTGTCTGGTAAACATCTGAAGTACTGGTATCCAACAGTTTTGAATCCAGTAAAGCATAAAATTTCAACTTCTTCTCCAACTGAGTATAGCTTCTTTTCATTCTAGAATTAAAACAGAAGCCAACAAATTATTGATGCCATGAATGATATCTCTAAGAACCTCGGGGTAGTCCTGGAATCTCTCCGTTCCTTCACTCCTGTATCTTACTCAGTCACAGAGTCCTCTCAATTTCTACTTCTAAACATCTCTCGAAGTTCTTTCCTTTCCTTTGCCATCATCACTGCCTTTGTTCATGGCATTTATGCTCTCTTACAAGGACAACTTTCTAACCAGGAGTTCTTCTAATCTACCTTCCATATTGCTGCTCTAAATTGATTAGATTGATTGATCGATTGATTGATTTTGCTTAAAACTTCCTCCCCACTGGATAAAGCATGGCCTACTACTGCAAAAGTTAAAAACCTATATGCTTACCCTATAGTGGCCATAAAATAAATAAATAATATATTCTACATATGCAGAACATGCATGGATTTGATGTGGTGGCTAATTGACCATAAATCATTTAGAAGTGTTACTCAGGGGATCCCTGGATGGTGCAGCAGTTTAGCGCCTGCCTTTGGCCTAGGGTGCGATCCTGGAGACCCGGGATCGAGTCCCACATTGGGCTCCCGGTGCATGGAGCCTGCTTCTCCCTCTGCCTATGTCTCTGCCTCTCTCTCTCTCTCACTGTGTGCTTATCATAAATAAATAAAAATTAAAAAAAAAAGAAGTGTTACTCAATTCTTGGTAACCCATTGGTCATTATATATTTTCCCAATTTTGTGTAATTAAAGTGCAACTACTGTCATGTGGGAGTTTACTAAAATCTTCAAGATAAATTGGGTTTCACACTTCTTAGTGCGGAGTATTAGTTTTAACCCATTTTACCATCCTTATCTCTCATCATTTGCTCCTGTAAAATCTACCTCTCACATAACAAAACCGTCTACCATTCTTTGAACAAAATATTCTCACTCATGTCTTCATGTCTTTTTCTGGCTATTACCTCTATGCTCCACACCTTCCCTCTACCCTTCTCTCAGGACCTAACTCAAATAGAATTTCCTCTGTGAAAACCTTCTTCACTTTCCCAGCTTCATGAGATGCACCATTCTTTCCGCTCTGGTGGAAACTTGCACAAAGTCCTATTTTTCTAACGTGTACTAGATTGCAGTTCCATTCTTGACCCATGACTGACACATCTGCTACCAGATTTCCTCAGAAATCTTTACAAAGCCTTCATAACTCTGCTGATAGAATGCAAAACACCATCCTTCTCAGGAGGGGCAGTAATATAACACTCTTTTTCCTTACTGAGCAGAAGAAATGCAAAGAATTCACTAGGAAGTTATACCCTGCGAACTGAAATTGTGTATTTTGAGGGAGGTGAAAAGAAAAAAAAGCTTAATTGTCAACTTTTGTTATTATTTAGACATACGATTCAGCTTGTCTCCTAGAAGACGATTAATTTCCTGAATACAAACAGATTATTCTGCTATTACTTATTCTGGATGTGGCTTTGTTTCTAAGGGAAACAGACTAATGAATGAGTAGCATTAATGATTCGGATGATTTATTCAAAGGCTGCACATTTCTTCTTGCATTCTTCCCCAAACAAATTATGTTCTTAAGCCTCTGTTTCTATTAATTTTATGAAGCTGTAACCTGTAAGTGTATGTGGAAAACTTCAAGCTTCCACCGACGCATCTACTTGACTGACTGGACAAGGAAACTTTACCTAAAGTCACTGTTCCCTGCCTCCAGGAGTAATAGGTAAATATTTTCCTGTACAATAACATGGTTGCTCTAGCCTAGAATGAGACATTAGCTACCTCTGTTTGTCTCCCTATTAGTGGTATTTTGCTACTTAGAAATCCAGAAGATACTCATTAGGAAAAAAATCAAAATTGTATTACTTTTGAGTAAAACTACTGTCAGTAGAGATTAAGTTTTTAATAAAGAGCAAAATAGGACAAAAAGTAAATTTATTCATAGGACTGGAAACATATGATCTAATTATAAAGAGTCATTAGAATAATGAATCATTGTTTAAACCCTTTGTGTGCTTTTAAAATTAGAATGTTGATCATTTTAACAGTTTTTGTAAGCAGCTGGCAAAAAGAGGTTAAAAATTCTTTGGGTATCTGGATTTGACAAAATGTAATTTTGAGGATTATGTTCTAGGGCAGAGACTAGAACGTTTCCATGATAAAGGGCATCCATGGTCCAGTGCAGGTTATACAGTGTTTGTGGCAACTATTCATCTCTGCCATTGTTGCTATCATAGATAATATGTAAATAAACGAGTGTGATTTTATTCCAATGAAACTTTGTTAAAAAAAAAAAAAGAAAAGAAAGGAAAACAGATGGCAGGCCAGATTTGGACTGTAGGCAGCATTTTGCTGATCGCTGTTCTAAAGGATTCATTCTCACAGTGTGGCTCTGAAACTAGCAGCATCAGTATTACCTATGAACTTGTTAGATATGGCAGTTTCCGGGCCCTGACCAAGACCTGTTGAATGAGACCCAGGAAACTGTGTTTTAACAAGCCCTCTAGTGTGCTGTAGAGTTTGAAGACTAAGTGAAATTACCTCCCTCCAAAATATTTCCTCCCTTTAAAATCTTTAGGCAGAAGACAAATGAACACAGAAGTTACATTAGCCTGGACTCTGCTCCATAGATATGTATTTGCTGGGACTGGAGAATTGAGGGTTATTGATCTTTGATCGTAAATATGATACAGTTAGAAAAAGATTAAAGGCTTAACTGAGTTTAAGAAAGGTTTAAAAAAATTTTAAAGGTAAACTTGATTAGGGAGCATGAGTTCTGTGATCACTTCTAAGTATTACATGTCTCTAATTTATACCTAAAGCCACAGACCTGACAAACATATTTAGTTATTTTAAATTATAGAAACATTGTGGCTCAATGAAAAAAGATAAAATTAAAAGTAGTTAGAGCTATATTGGCTGCTTAAGAATTCTATAGGTTTCTAACCCAAGGTATTACAGACTCCACATCTCCTGTGACCAGGTTTCTCTCTGAAATCATGTCTTAGGGGATTCGTTTGCTCAGACTCAGAAATAAAATGTCAGATCCTAGGTGCAGATTCTCACAAGTCATCCAAACCTAAATTGTGGTCAAGTTCCACTTTCCATTCACATAAGTGGACCCTTAGCTTAGGAATTAGTAGTGCCAAGGAATGCAGGCAATCTGCTGCCTTTGGTCTAACAGCCAGACATCAAGATGTCTCCAGAGAATTCAAGACAGAGGAGTGGTAGAGTGTTTTTAAGTATTAATTTTTAAGTCAACAGAAGATGATTACACTGGGAAAACAATAACCTTAATTAAAAGAAAAAGCATACTTTTTAAGTTCTATCTTTTGGATTCCAAACTTGAAGTGAAGGTCAGGATGCATACCCGGATAAATCCATTTTCTGGAGAAACTGGCCGAGGACACCCTGAATCAGATTCTATCTCAGGGAGGTCTATTTCTTTTACTTCTTCATCATCACTGATACATGCTTGTCCACTAAAAGGGAAAAATAGGGAAAAATAAAAAATATATACACACACATATATATACATTTATACACATACACACATATACACATACACACAATCTATTTACATGCATATGTGTATGCATATATATACATATAAAGAGGCAAAATATTCAAAAGCAATGAGTAGCGCCAGATCCACCAATACCCCACTAACAAACTGTTAGAATAGGTAAAATTCTGATTATTTCTCTACTTAGCACTAAGAAAATAAATATTCCCCATCACCCATCCTTACTTGTTCTCCATGACTGAAAATGTGCAGTCTTCCTCTTGCCGCTTTTCCCCTTCACAGGGTTTCCCCCCTTGTTGGGGGGCAGGGTTGTTGCATTCTCGGGTTCTTGATCTCTTATAAGAAGCATCACACGTGCTCCAGGAAGACCAGCAGCTCCAGTTCCCATCCACTGCATCTGGAGCACAAGAAGCCCACCCACTCAATCCTGGTGCAGTTGAGAGAGCAGGGGTGTGAAGCCAGGCCAACTTGGTCTGGTCTCTTCGCTTTTTAGCTGGGTGATTCTTTGATGAATAGCACAGGATTATCGTGAGGATTAAAAGAAATTACCTTTGTAAAGGGCCTGACACCTTGCCTGATTTCCCTTTCCCATTCCCACAGCCTGAATAAAATGGTAACAACCATGAATCATTTTTAACTATCAGCAGCATATCACACACATATGTATATGCATACATATATGTATACATATGAATTTCTTCTGAAGAGTATGTATCAATTTACTTTTTGAAAGGTAATAGAATTTATTCTTACCCCCATGACACATCCCTTTTTTAAGGAAGATTAGAGGTAGCCAGAAACATTACTTAGTCCTGTAGGGAAACTTTGGTGGGGGCTTAATTTATCTCTGACTACAAAGCCTTTGTCATTCTACATTATACTACATATGAGGCTTATAACAACAGTATCATATATTTAATTTTATATTATGGCTTATTATTTTATTTATTTTATGTTACAGGCACTGTACTATCATATGTACATATTTATGTATATATGTAAAATCTTCAGGTACATACTGGCATTGTCCCCATTTTATGGACGAATGGGTTGAAGCATAAAGGGATTGGGTGACTTTCCCAAGGTTATACAGCTGGTAGGTTACAGCTGAGCCTCACTCACACCAACGCTGTTTGACTTTAGGGTCTATTTTATTACAGGTTTCTTTTCCTTGTGAGTTTGCATAAGCTGGGTAATAAAAATGTTATTTTGTTTTACTCCACCAACCTTTTGGAGGGGAAAATGGGCCTCCCTTACAGGAAGTCACAGATACTCACTAGATTTATAATCCGGGGAGCGTCTCTCACAGTTGTCTCCGTAGGTGCCACTATGGCATACACACAGACACTCGGTCCCCGAGAGTGTGGGGCGGCCGTTATTAGGGCATGGAGCACACCGGCAAGGGTCAAACTTGGCTGCATACTCTCGAAAAGCCTTTCTGAGGTTGTTCCGTCTTGTCACCGCACAAGGGATGTTTCTCACCAAGTCTGTGATGGGAGCAAGCTAAGAGCAGATGGTAGAGAGATCTGGTCGACCACATCTCTTTGGCATATGTTGCCATCACTGCTCAATTCTCATGGACTGAGAGGAAAGGTCTGGAGAATCCCACACTTCAAAGGGACTATTACACAATATAACATGTCTACCTGTTGGACCAATGGGAAAAAAAAAAACCTTCTCCATGAGGGTAGGGGAGCTTCTTTTCTTTCCCTTCTGGAGTGAGTAGAGCAGCTACCTGCAGGATTAGCTGGCTTCTCTTGTCCCTAATGTAATGTCTCTAGAACTTATCTTTCCTGGAATTCTGCTAGGAGGGAAGCCTCATGGGAGGTGTTGCTTACCTGGACTTACATCACGTTATTCACTAAGCATCAAATGCAAGCCTTAACTCACTGAGAGAGGAGACTGGGAATCGGGCGACTCCTGCATGCTCTGCCAAAACCTCATTACATTTGATTCAAGAAGAAAAATCCAGAGAGAGTGAAGAGAGGCTTTCTGTGTTCTTTTTTTCCCCCAGGGACAGGATTGGCTTTTGGTAGGACCAGATGAGAAAATATGGAGCAGGAGAAATGAACTTGCCCGTAGGATGAATGAGAAAATTATGGTAACAAATAATGGAGCTAACACAAAATCAGAGCTCATTTTATTAACATTTTAAAACCTCAAAGGAATGACTCTTTAGTGCAGTGTATGTGTCACAGGTGCCCAAATGGGCAGCCAGATTTCGTTTTCCCATCATAGCCTGTAGAGCTCAATGTATCTTCACGTTGCATGTAAATTATTCTGCTTTCATAATGATTGAACTCCTTTATTTAAATGAAATAAGCAGAGTAGCTTCTCTGAGGGCTTTAAAAATGTGCTTATGTTTTAGTCAAAACCGTTTTTAAATGGCATATGACTGATTTGCGGGCAAAGTATTTCACAAATAATAAAAATCAACTTTTTATGTAATCACAACAAATACAGGACAGGTAATTTTAATCAATGGTGATAGAAACAGAGGGCCAAATGGGACTAAGATTCCATTTATCCCACAGAACTATAAATGAAGATTTAGACATGTTCATCGAATAAAAAGTTGCAAGAAAAGTACACAAATCAGAATTATTGTATAGATGAGAAGCCAAAGAGCTCTCCTTAAGGCAAGTTTTGAGCAGTTATATTCACTAAATTCCCCGTCCTGGTATTTTATGTATGCTAAGAATTCTAAATAGTGTACCAGAGAATGCTCATTTGAATAGCAAAAACAATCGATGTGTAATTTAACATTTTTAAAAAGGTACATTGTGCATGCACACTAAAGAAAGGCATTTCCTTTATCATCTGCGGGGGAAAATGGAAAAAGAATTGCATGTGCGCAATTTGGGCTGCTAGAGAACTACTTTAGCTCTCTTACCCGTAATATTTTGGACTCTTACCTCAAAGTCAATCACAACGGGATTTTCCTTCACTGATTCTAACCACTCAGAAAATTCCTTCTCCGTCGGCACAGAGCTCCCTTTCTCCCACGCCAAGGCGGCGGCGTACTTACTTCTCCCGCCCTGAATCAGGGATATGGATTTCTCTGCTCCCTGCAAAAAGGAACCTGCAAGGTGTTTCAAGAAAATGACTCACTTAATTTTACTGCACATTCAAACTTTAAAGAAAAGCCTATTCACACAGGAAGAGAAGTAGATGGTAGTCATGTAGCTCATTAAATAAGCTAGTGGAAGGCGAGAGAGCGCTCCTCCTCATCCCTACAGGGAGTGTAATAATAGAAATGATAGCAATGTTAGCAGTTGCCACTTATTAAGCAACTCGTATATGCCAGGCACTTTGCACTGATTGCTTTAAGTTATTCTCATGACAATCTTGAGAAGTAGGTATTATTAGGAACATGGGCACTGAAGCTAGAGATAATGTAGCCTGGAGCACATGTGCAGTTACTGGGCAGGGTGGAGGGGAGGGGAGGAGTAGGAGACTGGGGCATAAGTACAGCTCAAGGCCGGGCTCCTCTGCTCCCTGCTCTTTAGTGCCAAAGCTCCCACTTTTGATGCATATCAGTATATGTCTTGGGTGTTCAAAATAACAGGAACTACCAGGGGATTCTGTTATCCAATCAGTTGACTGCCAGGCTGGAGATTTCCAATTAGAGGAAAAAGTTGATAAAATGCTTTTAAGCTTAAAGACAGGTGCAAAAGCACAACTAACAAAAGAGAAAAGTTAAATCTCACGTTAAGAGGTGGTATAGTGTGTCTTTAGAAGCAATGACATTTAATGTACACAGCTCAGATCTTTTCTTTTAAGATTTTATTTATTTATATGAGAGAGAGAGACAGTGCACATGAGAGAAATCGAGAGAGCACGAGCAGGGAGGAGGGGCAGAGGGAGAGGGAGAAGCACACTCCTCGCTGAGCAGGGAGCCCAGTGTAGGGCTTCATCCCAGGATCCTGAGGTCATGACCTGAGCAATGGCAGATGCTTAGCTGACTGAGCCACCCAGGAGCCCTACAGCACAAATCTTTAACACAAATTTTCAAAAACAATTCCTATAAGCTAATGGTGTCTTTTTTTTAAGAGATATTATTTATATTCATGAGAAACACAGAGAGGAGATAGAGAGAGGCAGAGACACAGGCAGAGGGAGAAGCAGGCTCCACGCAGGGAGCCCAACATAGGACTCGATCCCGGGTCTCCAAGATCAGGCCCTGGGCTGAAGGCGGCGCTAAACTGCTGAGCCACCCGGGCTGCCTCTAATGGTGTCTTTAACTAATAAGGCCAGGAACTGAGTAATAGGAAATCATAGTGAGAAATATAAGCAAATGAAGAGGAGTCTAGTGATATGGGTAAGAGTTAATGGCATTAATTTGGTGTCTAGGGATCCCTGGGTGGCGCAGCGGTTTGGCGCCTACCTTTGGCCCAGGGCGCGATCCTGGAGACTCGGGATCGAATCCCACGTCGGGCTCCCGGTGCATGGAGCCTGCTTCTCCCTCTGCCTGTGTCTCTGCCTTTCACTCTATGTGAATATCATAAATATAAAAAAAAAATTATAAAAAAAAAATTTGGTGTCTATTCTGCAGTACCAGTAAGGATTAGCCATGCCTTCACTGTTTAGAAATTCTATAAAAAGAGAGTCTAGAATGATCAAAACAATGGGTGAAATACTCTCTCTGTGAAGAAAGTAGTATGATCCTTTTCATAGTGAGGTTGCATAAGGGGTATAAGAAGAATATTTTAGAGGTTTTTGTATTTATTTTTCATATAAAAAAGGAGAGAAATTCGTATTTGCCAATATATTGTGTATCTATTGACAGTAGCTCTGACATGTTAGTTCACATTTGATTGATACCAGGTATTTCATGAATGGATTGACACTAGTAAGAGTCAAAAATGACAAGCATGGGATCCTGAAGGAGTGAGCATTACTGTTTACTACTCCATTAGCTAGTTTGAACAAAACTAACTCTTACAAGTGAACAAGTGGTTTAAAAAGATTTCAGGAAGAAATGCTTATTGAAGATGATACCAATAGTGCAAACACAAGCAAAACAACTAGTAGGAGGAAGAACAGATGTTTCTATTTCTTATACAAGTTTCTCATGAGCCACAATATGGGATTGACATCAAAGCTGCCCAAAACATATCACAAATTTCAAGGAGTTTTTGTGAATATATTAATTTGTCATTATAATATGAGTAAGACAATAAAAATTCTATTTATTTCATATAGGCTATCTTTGAGATTTTTCTCTTTTCTACATTTGCATATATTTTGTGTGCATAATATGTTTTTAGAATACTACATTTATAAAGTTTGTTAGTATTTTTTTAGTCAGTATATTAGGGATATATAGTAAAAAAAAATTTAATGATATTATTTCAGATTTAAAAAGTTTGGAGTGGGACGCCTGGGTGGCTCAGCAGTTGGGCGTCTGCCTTCGGCTCAGGGTATGGTCCTGGAATCCCGGGATCGAGTCCCACATCAGGCTCCCTGCATGGAGCCTGCTTCTCTCTCCCTCTCTGTGTCTTTCATGAATAAATAAATAAAATTAAAAAAATAAATAAATAAAATAAAAAGTTTGGAGTTCATTTGATTAAACGAGTTCAGGATTAGAAATAGACAAATTATGTTTTTGTGTGTGCTTTACTCTTTTGAAAAACTTTATTGTTTCAAAAGTTTATTTAAATTCAATTAGCATATAATGTCTTATTGGTTTCAGAGGTAGAGGTCAGTGATTCATTATCTTATATAATCCCAGTCCTTATTACATCACATGCCCTCCTTAATGTTCATCACTTAGTTACTCTATCTGTTACCCCTCTCTTCTCCAGTGACTCTCAATTTGTTTCCTATGATTAAGGATTTCTTATGGTTTGTCTCCCTCTCTGATTCCATCTTGTTTTATTTTTTTTCCTCTATTCTCCTATGATCCTCTATTTTGTTTTTTAATTCCATTTATGAGTGAAATCATACGACAATTGTCTTTCTCTGATTGACTTTTTCACTTAGCATAACATCCTCAATGACATTCATCCACATTGTTGCAAATGGCATTTCATTGTTTTTTTTGATGGCTGAGTAGTAGTCCATTGTATATGTGTACCACATCTTCTTTATCCATTCATCTGCCAATGGACATCTGGGCTCTTTCCATAGCTTGGCTATTGTGGACATTGCTACTATATACCTTAACGGGCAGGTTCCTGTTTGGATCACTACATTTGCATCTCTGGGGTAAATACCCAGTAGTGCAATTGCTGGGTCATAGAGTAGCTCTATTTTCAACTGTTTGAGAACCTCCATACTGTTTTCCAGAGTGGCTGTACCAGTTTGTATTCCCACCAATGATGTAAGAGAGTTCCTCTTTCTCCCCATCCTTGCCAACATCTGTTGTTTCCTGATTTGTTATTTTTTAGCCATTCTGACTGGTGTGAGGTGGTATCTCATTGTGGTTTTGATTTGTATTTCCTTGATGCCAAGTGACATTGAGCATTTTTTCATGTGATTGTTGGCCATTTGTATGTCTTCTTTGGAGACGTGTCTGTTCAATGTCTTCTGCCCATTTCTTTTTTTTTTGAATAAATTAATTTTTATTGGTGTTCAATTTACCAACATACAGAATAACACCCAGTGCTCATCCCGTCAAGTGTCCCCCTCAGTGCCCGTCACCCATTCACCCCCACCCCCCGCCCTCCTCCCCTTCCACCACCCCTAGTTCATTTCCCAGAGTTAGGAGTCTTTATGTTCTGTCTCCCTTTCTGATATTTCCCACACATTTCTTCTCCCTTCCCTTATATTCCCTTTCACTATTATTCATATTCCCCAAATGAATGAGAACATACACTGTTTGTCCTTCTCCGATTGACTTACTTCACTCAGCATAATACCCTCCAGTTCCATCCACGTTGAAGCAAATGGTGGGTATTTGTCGTTTCTAATGGCTGAGTAATATTCCATTGTATACATAAACCACATCTTCTTTATCCATTCATCTTTCGATGGGCACCGAGGCTCCTTCCACAGTTTGGCTATTGTGGACATGGCTGCTAGAAACATCGGGGTGCAGGTGTCCCGGCGTTTCATTGCATCTGAATCTTTGGGGTAAATACCCTAAGTGCAATTGCTGGGTCGTAGCTTGTGCCCATTCCTTGATTGGATTATTTGTTCTTTGGGTGTTGAGTTTGATAAATTCTTTAAAGATTTTGAATACTAGCCCTTTATCAGATGTGTCATTTGCAAATATCTTCTCCCATTCTGTGGGTTGCCTTTTGGTTTTGTTGACTGTTTCCTTTCCTGTGCAAAAGCTTTTTATCTTGATGAAGTCTCAATAGTTCATTTTTGCCTTTGTTTCCTTTGCCTTTGGAGGTGTGTCTAGCAAGAAGCTGCTGTGGCTGGTCACAGAGATTGCTGCCTGTGTTCTCCTCTAGGATTTTGATGGATTCCTGTCTCACATTTAGGTCTTTCTTCCATTTTTGAGTCTATTTTTGTGTATGAGTGAGGAAATGGTCCAGTTTCATTCTTCTTCATGTGGCTGTCCAATTTTCCCAACACCATTTGTTGAAGAGACTGTCTTTTTTATCATTGGATATTCTTTCCTGCTTTGTCAAAAATTAGTTGAGCATCCATTTCTGGGTTCTCTATTCTGTTCCATTGATCTATGTGTCTGTTTTTGTTCCAGTACTGTACTCCCTTGATGATTACAGCTTTGTAATAGAGTTTGGACTCTGGAATTGTGATGCCACCAGTTTTAGTTTTCTTTTTTCAACAATCCTTTGGCTATTCAGGATCTTTTCTGGTTAAATATAAATTTTAGGATTATTTGTTCCAACTCTGTGAAATAAGTTGATGGTATTTTGATAGGGATTGCACTGAATGTATAGATTGCTCTAGGTAGCATAGACATTTTAGCAATATTTGTTCTTACGACCCATGATCATGGAATGTTTTTCCATTTATTTGTGTCTTCTTCAATTTCTTTCATGAGTGTTCTATAGTTTTCTAAGTACATACTTTTGCCTCTTTGGTTAGGTTTACTCTTAGGTATCTTATGGTTTTAGATGCAAATTGTAAATGGGATTGACTCTTTAATTTCTTTCTGTCACATTGGAAGTGTATAGAAATGCAACTGATTTCTGTGCATTGATTTTATATCCTGCCAGTTTGCTGAATTCCTGCATGAGTTCTAGAAATTTGGATTTTTTGGGTTTTCCATATAGAGTATCATGTTATCTGCAAAGAGTGACAGTTTAACTTCTTCTTTGCCAATTCAGATGCCTTTTATTTATTTTTGTTCTTTTGTTGTCTGATTGCTGAGGCTAAGACTTCTAGTACTATTTTGAATAGCAGTGGTGATAGTGGACATCCTTGCTGTGTTCCTGATCCTAGGGGAAAAACTCTCAGTTTGAGAATGATATTACTGTGGGCTTTCATATATGGCTTTTATGATATCAACGTATGTTGCCTCTATCCCAACACTGTGAAGAGTTTTCATCAAGAAAGGATGCTGTACTTTGTCAAATGCTTTTTCTGCATCTATTGAGAGGATTGTATGGTTCTTGTCCTTATTATAAATGTGGTGCATCACATTGATTGATTTGTGGATGTTGAACCACCCTTGCAGCCCAGGAATAAATCCCACTTGGTTGTGGTGACTAATCCTTTTAGTGTACTGTTAGATCCTATTGGTTAGTATTTTGGTGAGAATTTGGCATCCATGTTCATCAGGGATATTGGTATGTAATTCTCCTTTTTTGGTGGGGTCTTTGTCTGGTTTTGGGATCAAGGTAATGCTGGCTTTATGGAATGAGTCTGGAAGTTTTCCTTCCATTTCTATTTTTTGAAACAACTTCAGTAGAATAGGTATTATTTCTTCTTTAAATGTTTGGTAGAATTGCCCTGGGAAGCCATCTGGCCCTGGACTCATCTGTTGGGAAGTTTTTGATGACTGCTTCAATTTCCTTGCTGGTTATGGGTCTGTTCAGATTTTTTATTTCTTCCTGTTTCAGTTTTGGTAGTTTATATGTCTCTAGAAATTGTGTGTTCATGTGTGCTTTATTCTTAAATGTGGTTTGATTTTAGGTAAATTTTCATCATGATTAATAAACATTTATTGAGAATCTGCTATATGCCAGGTAGTGAAGACTGAGAGAAATATAAAATATGCCTTTTGTATTTGAAGGACTTAGACTCTCAATGAGGAGACAAAACAGCTACATAAATAATACTAGCAAAATTATAGAGCCATAAAAAAGGAAGGAAGAAAGATAAGAAGGGAAGGTAGAGAAGGGAAAGAAAGGTACACAAAAAGACCAAGAAAATAGTTTGGCTAAGTGGTACAGAGTGGTACAGCAATTCGTGATTCCTGAGTTAGGGCAGGGGAAGAATTCTGCAATCTTAGGCGCTTAGGGAGGGTGGCACTATGAAAAGACTTTGAGGCAGAGCTAAGTCATGGTGGGGGGCAATGCCCTCCCAGCATGGGCAAAGACCTGGAATGAGGGGCAGATGTGCCATGTTCTGGAGTCACTGCATATGGACATCTGCTTGAGTTGAAGTTGAAGGTGTAGGTAGGGGAAGAACAAACAGCAAAACAGAGAGGATCTGGATGAGAAGCCAAAAAGATTGGACTCCATTCTGTAGGTTTAGAAATGACTACATCCCCTAAAAACATTTCATTTCTGCGTGGAGAGTTCACCCAGTTCAGGGGTATTAGCAATAGCAATGTGTCACTGGGTAATGATGAATAATTGAAAAACCAGTTTGGAGACCATTCTAACAGTCTCTGACTTTGCAGTGTCCTTATTTGACATTTTCTCATCTCTTTGATGGATGGATTTTATAATTAAGCAGGTTTTTTTTTCTTTTTCAGTAAGTACCCAAGAATATATATTCTCAGAATTCTCTCACATTTTGAGATGTCTTCCTGTTACCTTCATATAGGAAATTACTTTTTCCCCCCTCTCTCAGGAATTTGTGGTCATTATTATCTTATAGCATTGCATTTAGCTATGAAGAAGTCAGAGGCCAGATTTTGTTTTTGTTGTTCTGTAGGAGATTTGTTCGGTCACCTGAAGAATTTATTTTTAAAATCTTTGTATTGGGCAGCCCAGGTGGCTCAGCGGTTTAGCGCCACCTTCAGCCTGGGCCATGATCCTGGAGACCTGGGATCAAGTCCCACATCGGGCTCCCTGTATAGAGCCTGCTTCTCCCTCTGCCTGTGTCTCTGCCTCTCTCTCTCTCCCTCCCTCTGTCTCTCTCTCTCTCTCTCACAAATAAAATCTTAAAAAAAATAAAATCTTTGTATTTAGTAAATTAACTATGTTTTGTCTTGAAGTTGTATATTTGAACAGTATTTCTAATGCATGTAATCAAAGCAAATTTTCTTCCTTTATTTCAGCAGGGATGTATTCATACATAGCTGTATTTTGTTTTGTTTTTTTCTTAACAGTTTTCCTGTTTGAGTTCTTGGGATCTCTGTTTCAGGAACACAAATTCTCACAGATTAAATTACATTTGTCATTCCATTTTCATTAGATTTTCCTTAGTAACTGTTAATACCCAATTTTTTCTCTGTATTTATTATGAATTACTTGAAGTCCGTCCTACATGTGATTAACTGTCTTGGTTTTATTTTCAGGCAATTGTATTTTGTTCTTGCAGTATCTAATTTATTTAGAACTATAATGGTGATATTTTTCAGTGTTCGTTTCTCTTTGTAACTTAGCTTTGAAATCTACCTTTTCAATTAATTCTTATGATCTTTTTGCCTCTGGGCACTTGATTTATTGAATTCACATTCTTATTAAATTTATTTATTGTTTGAGAAACTGGTATAGAACCTATAACCATTCTTTGGTTTATATTACTAGGTTATTCATCTGTTATGCATGTTCACTTTTTCCTTTTTCCTTTTTCCTTTTTTTGCTATAACATGAATGCATAGTTGTCAAATCAATTCTTATTTTGCTTACGCTTAACATGGGCATATACATGTAGATGATCTGTATGCTCTGATATTCAAAATTATCTATTTATTATTATAGTAAATATTTTTGTTTGTTCCTTGTCTGTCTCCCCAGGAGAATATGAGCTTCATATTTTAGGAGTTTCTGTGATTCTGCTTCCCTTCATTGTTAGCAGAATGAGTAGCAATCAGTAAGGCAGTCAGGGAACAAGAGAACATTACACAGAGGAAGGAGTTATTTATAATGGCAAGGCACGAGAGAGAGCATAACTTATTTAGGAGTCTCTAGTTTAGCTAAGCAGAGAGAGAGAGAGAGAAAGAGAGGTAGGAATTTTCTTTAAGGCCATGACATGTTTAAGGCATGAGAATTGCACCATAAGGTTCGCCTTGGAAAAGTTTCCTGTCACAGAATATGTGTTGAATAGATTGGCAGAAGTCAATGGGAGAGGCAAGGGGACAGTTAGGAGGCTTCTGTGGTAATTCAGGTTGGAAATAATGAACAGAGGGCATGCTCGTAGAAATGAAGAGGTGGGAGTCACTGGGAAAAATATCAAGGATGTGGAGTGATTACTTATTGGATGTGGAGGCTAGAAAGAGGGAGAAATTGAAGACAATACTGAGGTTTCTGGCATTGTTGCTGGAGCTTTTATATATGTCTCTTAGCCTCTTAGCAGTTTGTATTTTTAATGGCTGCTTATTCGTATAGCTTGTAAGCTCCTTGATAGGCCTTCTCGAAAACCAACTTTACATCACAATGCATATTGAGTTCAGCCCTTAGGAAGAATCAATAAATGTAAAACAACCAAGTATGAGATTACAAAAACCTTAGTTATTTCCCTTTTAAGTAGTGCTAATGATATTTTATTTTCACTCTCTCTTCCTCCTGCCCACCCCCCACCTGCCATCACCACACAAATGGCTGTGAGGTAGGTAAATGAAATAGAGGAAGTTAAAAATAGCACAGTCAAGTATAATATGGTACTGAAATCACTGCAATCTCAGGACAGGGTACGTTGCTAAGAGAGAGTACTCTTACCTTCGTATTTCTTGGACATCTTGTTAGTGGTACACCGGTGTTCCACTTCTTTTTCCACAAAAAAAAGTACTCTTTTCATTGTTTCAGTTGAGACACAGTTTTGGATTTCTTTCTCTGTTAAACCTAGGAAGTGGGGGTACAAATAAAACATCCTGAGAATGTACCACTGAGGATTGAGAGAAGAGGGGCGTGAGGATCTGAGCACTTGGGAGCTCCAGATACTCTATCAGCTCCATCTTCTCCAATTCCTGTAAGCTGGGATGATTAATAGCTTTCACCTACAGATCCAGTCCCTTTCAGGCCCTGGGATAATCCTGAACAGAGAAAGAATTATGAATCCCTCCCTTCAACATTGGCCCTAAGAAGCAAATATAAGGGGGCTCATGTTGGCCTCTCCCCTGTTGCCTACACACAATGAGACTCAAAGCCTGCCTGTCCTACTAGTCACGGCCACTGTATAACCTGCAGATCAAGAGATGAACACATGTTGTCTGTGTACCCCTGTCATGCCTTCTTTCTGGGGCATAGCTGATATTGTGAGGCCTGAGTCTGAGTAAGGCACAGGCAGGGCTAGGTAGGGAGAGATGGGGGGGGGGGGGGGGCTATGGGATCACACTCATGGAATTGCCCAAAATGCTGAGATGAAAGGAAATCAGAAATTAGGAACACAATAGACAACACTGCCCTAAGTGTGAGTGGGGAGGATATTTTTGTTTTTGTTTTCTTGACAGTTGCCTGTGACCAATAAAGAATCACCAGACCCAAAAGGAAGCCATTAAAGATGTAATCACCAGTCCTTACTGGAACCAGGACATCACAAGAATGATAACGCCGCAGGCTCCCTGGTAAGTTCTATTTTTTTTTAATTTTTATTTTTCCTGGTAAGCTCTAAATAAAAGACTGTGAGTGGAGGCCCCCACTGGCAACCCCACCGGGACCCCTCTCACTCCTGAGAGCTTTTTCTGTATTCTCACTTAATAAAACTCTATTGCTTTACTCATTCTCCTTCTCCCACGAGATTCATTCTTTGACTCTGTGAGGCAAGAGCCTAGCTCTCCCGCCTCAAGTCCACCTCATTTACTCCCGGTCATCACCTAAAAAGGAAATCTTGTTGGTCATCCCTCCTTCTCTGAACAGTCATTCTCATACTTGTCCCCCTGACTCAGCTGCTCATTCTACCTGTATCTCTCCACAACTCTTTGTTTTCTCTCCAGAATTCTGACTTCCAGATCTATGAACTCTTCTCAGTGTCCTCATTGACTGTTGTCTTCCTTATCTTCAAACAAGCCTGTACTCCTTGTTTCTCCTGTTGTCTCCAAGGGAGGTGGACACTGCCTCACTCCCAGCCTTGGATAGCTGGGGTTGGTATCTTCCCAGCTTCCCAGTGCTGCCATTGGATGACTCTCTAGGTTTACAAGTCTTGTCAAAACCCTGATGCTTTAAGGCTCAGACCATTCAGTTCTAACATCTTTAGTCTTCATTGTTCTTGTCTTTTACCAAAATTCTAAGCATCATTTGTTAAAGAATTTGGCATCTGAGTCACTCTTTTCTACCACCATCCTTGCCTGTATTCTCAATGACTTCTAAATCGATGTGACATCAGGGATTAAGTGGGACACAGTGTAGGGAAACAGGTGTGGCTCTTTGTAGGCTGAGGTGGTGCTGCCCATCTGGGGTAATTTGAAAAGAATCAATGTTTCCTTTTTCCTAACAGTTTCCTAAGCCTCCTGACCTGCCACCTGAGATACCAAAGTTAGAATCCAGATTTGGGTTTGTTTTTAATGTAACTTATGTAAATTGAAGTATGGTTGACATAAGAGTTCTGGTTTTTTGATGTTTAGTTAAAGATGGCCTTACAAAACACATGCACAGGAGAGATAGAGTTGTTACTATCTGCTCCTAGGCACCTCAAAGCAAAGTAGTTAATCAAATACCGATATTTAGGGCTATAGATTACAATCAGCAAAGGACTGTTTTTAGAGCTTGAGGCACAGTTTGGGTGTGATGCTGAAACTGAATTCTAAACCCACAGATCACTGAGAAATGAGGCCAAGTAGAAGGGGCTGGGGTCTTCCTACTTCACAGTATTTTCAATAGTTTGACACATTTGAAGACATGCATTATAAGTTGGCAGTGAAAAGTCTTAGTTTGAAGTCCTTATGTTTACTATGCATCTTTAACCGCCCCCCCCCCAAAAAGGTCTAGTTTCTTTTTTGGTGAGACTGAATAAATATGAGTCATTTTCTTCTGGTAATGTTGTTCTAATAAGTAGGTCGGTCAAATGCTTTGGTCATGTTAGGAATTTAATGCATCTATAGTGCATAGTTACCATCCTTTTTTAATTTTCTCATTAGGTTTTTATTATTTATAAGTGAAAATTAAATTTTATGCATCCAATTCATTAACTATAACATAATTAATTGACTATCAACTTGGTTAATTTCATTTTCCGAGGGCTAACAGAGAATGTTTGAAGATTTGAACCATGAATCCCTTATAAGAATCATGGTGTCAGTCATGCAGTGATTAAAATATCAAGGCTTTATCAGTGATTTTCTGTATAAGCCTTTCTTCCCCTGCATGTCCTGTAGCTTGCTTCCTGACCTCTCTACCCAGTTGCTGAGTGATGCAACACTTGGCCTCTCAAACCTGCGTGTCCCTCTGATGTGGCACAGAGACAAGTATTTCAGAAATATCCTGAGCTACTCTGACTGGGCAAAGGTCAACAGTGTTAGTCAAAAATGTCATAGAGATAAATGATGGGGGCTATAATTGTTCTCTTCCAGTTCAGAGTAAGAAATGACTTCTCAACAAAAAGAGTTTAAAATTACTATCTTGCATATTATGATATCTTAATTGTTTAATGTTTTCACCATATTTCTGAAATTCTTTTCACCTAGCACACTGAAGCAATGTCAACTTCTATTCAAGGTTTTAAATTGACTATGGGAGATGGAACAATAGAGGAATAAATGAAGGATGCAAATAAAAAGCAATTTAATTTTGTCTTCCTCTTCTTGGGGGAGAAAAGGTACTATGAAATATTCAGGTTATGTTTTTGAAGTTAATGACAAGGGATACAATTCTATTGAATAAAGCAAATAAAAACTAAGCCTATACTCTAGTTCCATATTATGGCTAAACAAAGGGAGAAGAAATGGAAAAAGAGGAGGAGGCCTGAATATATATTCATCTAGAGAGCAGGCAAAGACAGGTAAGCATACCCAGCAGAGAATTCCATTTTATTGAAATATGTTTCTGTCTGGATGTGCTTCATCTTAACCACAATTAAAACTGTGCACAGTATTATTATTGTGACTCAGATATAAATACATATATATTTATTGAATATAAGAATATGTATTACATATATTAAATATAGAAATATTTAATTGAACATATATATACACATTATACAGTGTATACAAATGTTATATATATATATATATATACACATATAGTATGTGTGTATATGAAGATATAAGTGTATATGGTCATATATTTCTAGTTTCCTATATCTCACATTCCCTTTCTTTCCCTTATTATATACATCTGTTTCTACCTCTATAGAGAAAGAGATGGAAGGTGAGAATGTTTTAGTAGGAAAGTATAGCTCATCACTTCATTTTGGTCATGGGTCTTCAACCATTAAAATTCTGGAAGGTTAATTAAAGATTCAAATAGTTCTTTAACTGACCTGATCTCTAAGCCTTTAGAGGCTTTGCTCTGAATGCATGATGAATATAGTTGATCAAGTGAGAAATTATTTTCTGGGCTACAGCAGTAAGTGACCAAAATAATTTCATCCTAGGGGTGAGACAAAAACCAAGGGCCAGAAATTTCCCCCAACCATTTTTGCTCATGGCATTCTCATGGCAAGCAATATCAAATTCATCATACAAATAATGCTCCAGTGGAAAGGCTAACTGAAATGGAACATAAGAGTTAGGCAATATGGTAAGCCTACCACAGCATAAATCTTTTGGATTTCAGTAACACTGTCAGATAAAAATATGGAGGGGGGGGGGCCCTCTTCCTGAGAGTCTTTCTCAAAGACATTTACCCCGTCTTCGCTCTTAGGAAAGCAGATCATGAGGGATATCTGGTTACTTAAAGTCTGGAATAACTCAGAGCAGCCACATTAACCATTAGTATTTGCCATCATGAGACGTAAGAACGGAGGGCCTGATACTCTGCTGACCCCAGGGTTGGCTTGATATTGTCTTTTTAAACAAATTCCTGATTTCTTTTTTTTTTTTAAGGTTTATTTATTTATATGATAGAGGAGAGGGGGGAGGGGTAGAAGGAGAGAGAGAGAATCTTGAAGCAGACCTCAGGCTGAGTGCAGAGCTGGTCGTGGGACAGGATCCCAGGACCCTGAGATCATAACCTGAGCCAGAACCAAGAGTTGGCCACTCAATGGGCTCCACCACACAGGCACCCCCTGATTTCTTTTGTATAAAATTACAGGATCAAGAATTCTTATTTATCTGGGGCAATTGGTTAGTTAAGTTCTGGTTACCATACAGTTTCCTAACCATGACCTTAAGAGACATGTGATAGAATCATTACAAGGGCCCTGTGTCATTTCACAAAAGGAGTCTGAAAGCAAATTTATCCAAAGGTGCTTAAGCTGTAATAATTACTAATATTGGCAATTTAAGTTAATAGTTAAGAAACCAAGATTTATTTATAAACCAAGGTTTATATTGTTATTTTACATGTAAGCAGAAAAAAAATCCTTAATTATATCCCAAAATATAAAGTTGCAAACTTTCCTTGAAAAAGTGCTTCTCATCCGGTTTCAAGTTTTATCACCAGTTGGTGCATATTTAACCCACATTTAGTCCCTAGTCAAGTCTTTAACTGTTCTTTTATCTTATGCCCTTGGCTTTTACTTTAAAAATCATTAAAAGAAAAAGACTACTAGCAAATTTGTTATAATTATTGTTCTATAAAATGTATTATCTCCTATAAAATTGCAATAGGTAAATTATTTTTTAGAGTTTAGTTCCAGAATAAATTTCATTTTTCTTGAGATAGTAGCATGCATCTGTCTTTTAGGTTACCACTACTGTGTAGCTTATGATGTTTCTAGATGTCAGGAAATACAGAAACAAATCTAATGTCCAATCAAAGAGGTTAAGTATATTTACTTTTTCTTCTTTTTTGGTCCTAATTTTCTATTTTTGTTTACTTGAATATGTACCTTTTGGCTGTTCTCCCTATCATTTTGGATATAAAGTGGAGTCTAAAAGTCAATAAAGAAGAATTAAAATGATGCAGTAAGAGAAAAATGAATTGCATGTAATCTAATCAGAAAAATGGGTTGGGGAGGGTGTGGTGGCTGCAGAAAACCTACCTGAGTTCCTGAGTTCCTCAGCACTATATTGGTAGAGGAGGTCATACACACCACCCAGGGAGCCAGAGGTGAAATAGTGAGTCCCAAAGTCATCGAATATCCGGCTATACAAAGCAAAGTTGTATTCTAGAGGCAGGTGGTTAAGTGCTTTCAAAAAGACGTCAGAAAGCTGCAGATCTTTAGCTTTCATTGTGAAGTTTAAAACTTCTATCACTTTATGGATCCTAGTAAAACTAGAATCCTAAATGGAGAAGAGAAAAGAGGAAAAAAAAAAAAAGAAAGAAAACAAGATAATTAAAGGTAATGAAAGCTTGAAGTGTCAAGCATTTAAATGTCACCTATTTATTACTAGCTTCATCCCAACCATAGAACACTAACAACTCTAACTCTCTATGGCACGTGCTTACACACAAAATTAGAATTTTCATTTTATTTCCTCAAAGTCCTGAACAAATGAGATTATCTCAGTAATGTAAACTCTGTGGCTGAGACATAAGTCTGGTAGACAGATCTACCAAAAACTAATCAATTATCAGAAAAGTAAATCTTTCACTCCTGATTGTCAATCATGGTTGTGTCCCTACTGAGTGTTTATTTAGAAATCCTTGCTAACAGGAAACCTTGGAAAAGGACTGCATAAAGTTTTAATTGGAAGTTTTGCAACTGAGATTCAAGTCACAGCTCTGTTCCTAACTAGGAAAAGGTGTTTACATTTCTGAGGCCCCAGGAGTCTGTGAAATGTGACCAGGTGCACAGATGAGTGCATTGGGTCACATACCACATCCCTTTCAACTCTAAAATGCTATGATTCAGAATTACTTAGGTTTAAAACTAAACAAAATTATTTATATTCTTTCTCCTCTAAGCATAAACAGAAATATTTGTTTGAGGGTTTTTTTTTTAATCGTTTCTTGTTATGTCTGGTTAATTTATGATTTGGTGGTTGGTATTGTATCCAAATCTTGTTCCATTAAATTATCCTTCTATATACTCACTGAGTTTTATGAGTGTATCCATATATACTGTACTTTTTAAAAATTCTTATATACTTTACCTCTCAATTTTAGGAAACCGTAGTATTTGAGTAATAGCAGAGAGAGAAGCATATTTTAGCAAAAGAAATTTATCGCAGCTATAAATTATTAAATAGCTATTTTCCTGCGTGCTATAATTATGGGATAAAATGGCTGCTAACACAAAAGAAAAGAAACAATCACAAGGATTGAAAAAGAGTCACCATTCACTCTCTTCCCTCTCTCTCCCCTACCCTTTTCCAACCCTGCTGTCTTCCTGCCTTTAACACATTTATCGCTCAGCTACCTCAGATGCTATGGACACAGGAACACACAAGATAGACAAAGTTTATCCTTTTGAGGAGCTTACATTTTCAGTGTTCATTAATTCTTTTTCAAGTTTAATACTTGAATTTTGTCATAGAACCATGGCTTTGGAAGTTTGGGGGACATTCTGTTTTTAGTAAGAAGCACACTTACTTCCAGAGTATCTGAAATGCCCGTGCAGACACGGGCATTGAAATGCATAGCTCAAAATTTCCAGGTTGCTCTACAAACTAAATTGTAAAAAATACAAGTGAAACTTTGTATTTGTATTGTAAAAAATGCAAGTGAAACTCAACTCAGCATAAGTACACACACTTTTGAAGTACATGCACTCATGAGGGGAAAATAAGACTAAAAAATGACATGGCAGTAGGTTATTAATCATGTATGATCTGTTTTTATATTCTGAGAAATCTTGCTTTATTTTCACCATCTTTTTGAGGGTTCAGCTTCAAAAAGTAATTCAGAAAAGCACTGAATCTTACTAAGACAACTAGTCTTTGAAACAGAATATTTGCACAACAAATGTTTAGTCAGATCTGAAAATTATGTAATAAATAAATAAATAAAGCATTAAGCTCCACTGAAGGGCTTGGATTGATTTTCAAGTGTGTGGTGACTTGTTTTCATTATTTGAAGACTAAGAGAGGTTACAGTAGCATTTTCTTTCTTTTTTTTATATAATTTTTATTTATTTATGATAGTCACACAGAGAGAGAGAGAGAGAGAGAGAGAGAGAGGCAGAGACACAGGCAGAGGGAGAAGGAGGCTCCATGCACCGGGAGCCCGACGTGGGACTCAATCCCGGGTCTCCAGGATCGCGCCCTGGGCCAAAGGCAGGCGCCAAACCGCTGCGCCACCCAGGGATCCCCCAGTAGCATTTTCTACTTAACCTGAGATTCCTTATTTTTGTGGAGTCTAATCAAAGATGTTGGGTTGAACTCGATGAAGTTGACAATTTTGTAAGTCAAAAATGGTTATATATCAGCAGTTTCATAAGTTCCAACAGATAATATGAATAGCCTAAAATGTTTCCACTTTGGGGCAGACTATAGAGGATCAAATAACAACCGTTTATCCACAGATAAAGGTTTTACAAGTGTTCTCTAGCATGTTTGAAACATTTATAAACCAATTCTGTGAAGCAAATCTTAATGTTGAGACTGATGTATATATCTATGTCCCTTTCAACATCTCCATTTCCCTGTTTATTATGAACTATGTTTTAAAGCAGTTGTTTCCAATCCTGGATATGATATTAGAGTGAGCTGGGGGACTTAAAAAAAAAAAAAAGCCAGAATCACATGACCAATCCCAGATAATCTGAATCAGTAAGGTAAGAGAAGGGCCGTGGGATATATTTTTACTTCCTAGTAATTCTGATTCTAACTTGTTCTAAGCATGGGGGGATGGGCTAAATGGGTGATGGGCATTAAGGAGGGCATGTGTTATGATGAGTACCAGGTATTACACGTCAGTGATGACTCATTATATTTTACTCTTAAAACCAATACTATACTAAATGTTGACTAACTTGAATTTAAATACAATCTTGGAAGAAAAAAAAGAATATAATTGGTATTGCTCAACCATAAAAAAGGATGAAATATTGCTATTTGCAATGATGTGGAATATGCTAGAAGAATATAACTCTAAGTAAAGTAATTCAGTCAGAGAAAGACAAATATCATATGATTTCATATGTGAAATTTAAGAAACAAGACAAATGAGCAAAGAGAAAAAGAGAGAGAGACAGATCAAAAACCAGACTCTTAATTATATAGAAAAAACTTATGGTTGAGTGGGGGCTGAGGGGGCATGAGTAAAATAGGTGATGGGAATTAAGGAGTACACTTATGATGAACACCAGGTGATGTATGGATTGTTGTATCACTATATTGTATACTTGAGATGAATATGACACTGTATGTTAACTAACTGGAATTAAAATAAAAACTTAAAGGAAAAAAGAATATAATTTGGTAAGTCTGAGGGACACTATGCTACCTATTACTTCATGTGATAAAAAGAAAACTTGACACATGGTAGATAGCTGATAAATATTTCTTGAGTTAAAAATAAATATATGGACTAATTTACTCCTCTGTAAAATATTAAAAAGATCTACTCTGATTCCCTTAGAGTTCTTTTGAAGATAAATGAAATGCCTAGGAAAATTATAAAGTGCTATAAAATATCTTATTTATGTAAGCATATGAATGGATGACTAAATTAAAATATGAAAGGCACTATGATACGCGTAGGAGGAACCTTAAAATGGTGCCCTCCAGCTGCTGGTCCCCTTTGTTCCAGTGTTGGTAACTTTTCTCACCTCCCCCTTCAGGTTCCATGATTCAGGGCTCAGTCTTCCCATATATCTCTTCGGAAAAAACAAATAATATACAGTGGTGGTTGTAATGAGGAACAGAAACTATTTTAAAAGACATTTGTAAATGTCTGAAAATGTCTAATAGAAATCTATCTCCTAAATCATTTAAGAGTTGAAAAATACGTCCAGGAGTTTTAATATACAAACAATAAAAGAAAAAGGAACAGAAGAAGAATGGTTGATGGATGAAGATGTATCTTTACATATTGAAGGAGTTTCACTGGTTCCTGGTAAGACTAATGGAAGAAATCTATTACTTAGATACAACCTAAATTTTAACAACAATAAAAATTATAAATTTCCAGATAGAGGAAGTAAAGGGGAAAAAATCAGCTCTGCATGTGATTTTTCCTATGCAACAATGAAAAGTAGAAGATAGTGGAATAACATCCACAAACCATCAAGAACAGAACACTATGGTCCAATATTCCTATATTTGGCCCAGATATTCCTTGATTGCTCAGGGGAAATGTATGCATTTTAGATATATAAAGATTTAGGGAGTAAACTTATAGACACACACACACAATATATATAAAATATAACAAAATACTGACTATGAACTTAGAATTTGTGTTATGTGAGGAATCCCCAAATAGAGAAGAATCAGAATAAAATAAAATTAACATATGTAATATAAAAATGAACACAAAAAAATTCCAAGGAATACCTTAGAACACAAAGGTTTTGAACTATCCAAACTGAGGTTTTGGAGGCCTGTAATGATAGCGGTGGGGAACAGAAAGCTAGATACATTCTCAAGGAGATAGTGGGATGGGGTGTAGGGAACTTAAACATCTTTTGGGGGCTTATAGATATTACTTCATGTGATAAAAGGAAAACATAGGTTTAATTATGTGTGTTAATTAAAGAAAGATAATCACAAGCAGAATTTAAAAGTTTAGTAGAACTTTGAAAATGACCAAAAGGACAGAAAGCAATAAACAGAAATGTGACAAAGACAGCAAATTAAAATAGGAAACAACAACAAAGTAAAATGAGTAAGAAAAATTTGAAACGGAAGAAATATGATCAATTATTTCAGTATATTAAATCGAAGAGAGCAGGATTTCCCTAGCAAAGGCCTGTCAGATTATGTTAAAAAAGCAAAGTTCTGGGACACCTGGGTGGCTCCATGGTTTAGCGCCTGCCTTTGGCCCAAGGCATGATCCTGGAGTCCCTGATGGAGTTCCACATTGAGTTCCCCACATGGAGCCTACCACTCAATCTGTCTCTCTGCCTCTCTCTCTCTCTGTCTCTCATGAATAAATAAATAAAATCTTAAAAAAAAAAGCAAAGTTCTGTTACATGTGGTTTATAAAAAATACATCTGAAACATTAAGTACAACTTTAGAGAGACCACAACCATAAATACAGCCAAATAGATGCATCATTATTTGTATTACCTCTATAACTTTTGAAATCAGATATAACAAAGTAAATCTATTTAAATTTGCATTAGAAATCTTACTGGTTTGATGTAAAAAACTCTCCCCTTCTCATTACATGATTGCTGGAATTGGTGTTAATTTTTCAAAAAGAATAAAATGATTTGGAACGATTTTGATTACCTTTTTATGGGAGGCTTGAATGGCTTGTTTGAAGGCAGAGTTATGGGTGGTGCTTTGAGTTTTCTTTGAGGAATAAAAAATTGGTATATAAAGACTGCTCTGCTCTTCGCCCCCAAATAAACCTTGTTGATTTTCATTCTTTGTAAGAGAAATTAAGTCCTTGTAGAAATCTGTTTCCAAATCATCTTCTTTAGTTTGTACCTGGAGAAAAAACAGTATAAAATAAGACATAATTTAGGAAATATTAGAGCTACTTGTTAAGAACTAATGCAATGATCCTTCATTCCTTTATGCATTCAATAAATATTTGTTGAAGACCCATTTTGCTAGAAATAAAGGAAAAGTTAGTCCCCTGCCCTCAGGGAGTTAATAGCTTAGTTAGGGAAATAAACAATCACAGACAATACAATGTGGGAAGTGCTGTGCTGCTAATGGGATTGGCATTAATAACCATAAAACCCAGAGAGGCCACACCAGGTAAACCTTCACCAAGGAAACTACTAAACTGAGACTTAACAGGGTAATAAGCAACAAGGGCTATTTTTAGTTGGCTTGGGAATTTGATGCTCTTCGAAATCTAATCGAAGGTATCTTCCCCAAAACTGAGGCCTAGAAAAGGGAAGGACAAATTCTGTCCTTCCTCACTCTGGTTCCATTCCCACCCACTTAGCCTCCCCTAGATGTTGAGCATCAGCACGCTACTGGTTATGTCTGTGGGACAGAAGATAAAGAATCAATTGGCTCGGCCTGGTGGGTGGTTATCAGCCTTCATTGCCTAGGTCTGGAAAGTGGAGAAAAACACAGCCGGTGGGACTTGACTTGAACTAGGAGTGGAGCAGGAATTTTCTAAGTACAAGTTAAATTTCTATTATGCTTATGCTGGTAAAAAAGAGACAATAGATGATTAAAAAAAAAAAGAAGTTGCAAAGTAAATTGATTTAAGAGTACTTTATGTTGGAAGATGCTTGGGTTTGCAATGGAAAAATTTCTTGTTTTAAAATATTCAGTATTAAAATGCACTGTGAGGCAAACCACATGTCACAATCAAATAGCTTGTACAATTAGTGAAGAAAAGACAAAATAACCCAGCTGCAAGAGTCTTGCTCAACAGTAAGATGCAGTCAAAAGTTCAGTGCTTCTTTCAGATAATACAGTGCATGCTAGTTAGCATTTAAAGGGCCCCAAAATGAAGCTCTTCAGTTAGCAATGAAGCAATACAATCCTATTGAAATATAGCTGCTGCCATTTCTTTACCATTTCTCTAAAAAGCTCAGACTATAAATATTTTGTTTTATGAATTAGCTTTTACACAAGAAAAGATGTGTCAGCTTAAAGGAAAAGACACTAGCTTGGTAGTTTTGGAATGTAGGTGAGATTTGGTGGGGTGAGGTCCAGAGCCCAAGAAAAAATTCTTTTTTTTTTCCTAAGATTTTTATTTATTTATTCATGAGAGACATAGAGAGAGAGGCAGAGACACAGGCAGAGGGAGAAGCAGGCTCCATGCAGGGAACCCAACGTGGGACTCGATCCTGGATCTCCTGGATCTTCTGGATCTCCTGGATCCTGCCCCGGGCTGAAGGCGGCGCTAAACCGCTGAGCCACTGGGGCTGCCCTCAAGAAAGAATTCTTGAGACATCCTTGATGCAAAGTGGTGGATTTATTAAAGCACGGGGACAGGACCCTTGGGTAGGAAGAGCTGCTACCCCCGGGGTTATGAGGGGTACTTGGGAATTGGGAGAAGATAAGGAAAAGGGAGGTTTCAAAAGCATTTTCATATGTTAAAGACTCAGTGGATACTGGAGGCCTTGCCATTGTCAAGTTAAGATTGTTTTTCCTTCTAGCAAGGCATTAACATTAAGACAGTTGGGAGCTATGTGGAGGAACGTACTTTCTGTCAGCTTCAAGTATCTGTCAATGGGCTGCAGGTTAGAAGGACATTTAATTTTATCTACATTTGCAAGATATTTGGGAGGAAAGTTCACAGAAGTCTTTGAGGGAGTAGATATTGGGGTGGAGCGGGGAGGCTGGAGAGATGATGGGAATGCTGTTCCATGAAAGGGAATATAGAATGACAAGGCAACTTTTGAAAGCATAGATTTTCCCAGGAAGATGTTAACCAAACTGGTGGGGGGGGGTTAATCTTCATTTACATATATTACATACATCGCAGAGCCCATCCATCCTCACCATCTATAGATCCAGTGGGCTGATGACCTAGGATTCAATGTGCATCAACACTTTTGTGTTTGAAGAAAGGAGGTGGGTTTGCAGAAAGGAGCAGAAGAGAAGAGGGACTAGGGGAATGGAAAGGATAGGGTGGCACCTGGTTTCCTGTGCTGTGAGCCTTAGAGGTAGGACCTAAGTTTTTGAATTTCATATGGGATTTGGGGAATTTTTGAGGGACTGCAGAGATACGAAGTTTCTCAGGCTTTGGGGTGCAGTAAGAGGCCACATCTAGGTAGGCCAATGCATTGCTAAGTATCAAAGTCTAGCAGTAACTGTATTCTGCAGTTTGCTGCTGACAGCAAATGCTTAGCACACAGCCAGTAGCAAAGCAGTGCCACCTAGAAAAAAAGGAGGAATATTCTTGAGTAAGTGGTACAACTCTGGGACCTGGTGCAGGGATCATATGGTGACTGAGCTCAGCAGTTAGGGGCTGGGGGTCCCCCGGGAGCAGAATTCTTCCTATGGTCTTCTAATCTGACTTCCCATCCAATGCCTTCTCTTCCCTTCCTTTTAGGAGCCTCTCTCATCTTTGCATACCAGCCACCCCATTACTTCATTTATCTTAATGAACTCCAATACGATAAGAGAAAGGAAGTCAGATGCCTGCTGAATTTCTTCTCTGTTGTTTTCAGTAAAGCACAGCTTAGATTTGCACAGTTGCCTGCTCACAGCCTGAACAAAGTAATACAGAGATCAGTGAAAAATCAACCAAACTCTTGTGACCTTGGATCTGGTTATTGACCTTCCTCAGGAGTTGTCTGTTACCTAAAACTCAATGACATATAGTTAGAGGTCAACTCAGGTAGTTTCTTAAGGTTTGACAAATTTTAGATCTACATTGTTAATGAAAGGACTCTCTTTTATTCTGAATGAGGATTTTTAGACTGTATTTCCTGATGTAACTAGCCATCCAGACTTGGTTACCAAGTTATGTGAGTGGGTCCAGTGGTCTGCTGGTAAATGTTTAAAAACCAGTGCTCTGGGAGGGTGAAAACCTGTGATTTACTATAGCACTTGCCATTGATTATAGTGCATATATCCCTACCATAGCTGATTCAAGCTACCTCTGTGGTACCTCCTAATTCAAACTTGGAAAGAGATGTATGGTAGCAAATTATTATACAGCATTTTCATAACACATATACAATAGATGTAAGTAACCTCAAGAGCCTCGATGGGAAAATGTAGCAAAAATAATGAAGAGTTGATAAATTTTGAGTAATTATCACCTATTTTTTAATATTTAATTGTAAGGCTACATATTTAATATTTAGTAATGTCTATGTTTATAAACTAGCTTGCAAAGTTCCTAAAAATTCAGCAATTGGCTCTTGTAATCTGGAAGAGCTCGCTCTAGCACACCATTGGTGAACCTCACAGATGATACCTATTAAACGACCGTTTATGAAAGGTACTCAAACCCGGCATGTGTTACATGGTTGTTAATATCTTTCTTGCTATTACTGTCAAGGTCTCATCTAGCTCAGGCAGCAGGGCAGTAGGAGCCAGGAGTTCTTATTCTGATGTGCCATTTACTTGTTGCATAACTCTGAGAAATTTGTCTAACTTGGATCTTCTACTGGTACAACAGATATAAACAATCTTCTATTTTTCTGGGAAGGATATTATGGGAATTGAGTAAAACAATACATGCAAAATACTTTCAAAACTCTAAGTATAAAATGTTTAGATAACAAATTTGCCCTCATTCTCATGAGCCTAATTTAACATGTGACTTGTAAAACTGCCTGAAATAGATGCTTGCTGAGAATATAGGCAGTATTTGCAGGGGAGGATTACTGTATTTTAAAGTAAGTATATGGATTGTTTAAGTGCTAGAAGACATCCTCCAACATAACAGTATTATATGTAAATGTTTGCATGTTAGCTCTGTCTCCAAAGGTTATTCAATACAATACATCTCAAGAGTAATGGTATTACTGACAGAATTACTATCTTTTTGGAACAATGTCTCATCTGAGTTCCTATTTAGCATACCAGTGAGACCTTTTCCACCTTCCTTGGTAGTGGTGGACCCTCTGGGATTAGCATCTTCTGGATCTGTGGGGAGATGGTGGGCAGTTTCTTTACATGGTCAGAAGTCACTTATTACCCTTGTCACTTTATCTTCAGGCAGAGATCAGACTCCTCAGGGTCAGCCTCCCAGAAGGTGTTTGAATTAGGCAATTGGGCCCCAAAGGCATTCCCTATGTCCATGAATACATATTAAATGGCTTTAAATTGAGCTGATCAAATTAGAAAACTATATATATATATATATATATATATATAAAAGGTTTTCTAAAGGAAGGATTGAATGACTTTTGTTGAATCCAGAGAGCAGTCTCAGAAATCACTGGACCCCCTGAAATTCACTCTAGCATGTCAAAACGATATGCATGGGTATTACCATTAAAATCTTGGCTTTCCTGTTTCTCTTATCATACTTTAAAAGAAATAGATTGTTTACTTTAGTTCAACAATTTTGGAGTACTTATCATGCATAAGGCGGTAGGCTAGATCTGGGAGTATTGCTCATTTCACTGAGGAAAACAAAGAGAAAACCAAATTAACTAATAAAATAGGAAGAAAGGTAAGAAGAACTACCCCTGTGACATTTAGCTTCATCTTGATTTTTTTAAGAAGCCAGGCACTCTTTTATGTCTAAGTATTGTGGTTCTCTGAGAGAATTAGCTATGGTAGGAGAAAATTTGGAATCAAGCAAACCATTTTGTGCAGGAGAAGGTACAGCTAAATGTTCACTGGAGAAAGCACGGACTCTGGAGTTTGGGAAACCAGAGCTTGAATATCTAATCCATGATTTACAAGCTGCTTGACTATGGACAAATTGGTTACATTAGTTTTTTCATCGGTAAAAGTGATGATGACAACACTGACCTCACAGGGTTGTGGAAGGATCAAACACCAACCTATAATACGTGATTTAAAATGTTCATTACCTTTATATTTTGTCGTTTCATTCATCAATAACTTTTCATTGGAAATTTAGCTTATAATCACCGTCAGCATTGGAGTGCTCCATGATAGGTTGTCATACCTCAAAGTTGACATTCTCCAAATTGGCCGGAACTCGGTATGGATTACTTGCTTTACTGCTTTTGACAGTTTTACATATTCCTCCAGTGAAAGAGTTATCAAGGACCTCTCCTCTGGGCTCTCCTGCTAGAAAATGAAACCTGCAAACAAAGTAATTTTCAAGAATTCAATAGATGTAGAGCAATCTTTAAAATTTACCATACTTTTATATGAAAGAAATTCCTTTCTTAGACATTTTTGACTCATGACAAATGACTTGAAGAAAAGCCCATTTTTTTTCTAGTTTATGGTGAGGCAGCAGAAAGGGTTGGAAGCCAAAACCTAGCCCTTCTGTTAGATTTCTTGTATTCCACTCACTTAATTGTTCTGGGCTTTTAACACAAAATAAAATTTAGGTTTATTTTTATTTCATGACTTACAAAACCAGTGCAAACTTTGGAAGCAGATTATAAGATAAATTATTACATAATTAATGCCATTCTGGGTTCACTTCCTTCAGTATGATAGAGCAAACGAATTCTTAGAGAGAGTTAACAACTAAATAGTAATAGCAGTATTTTAATAAAATTATAATAATACTATTGTTTTTATTAATAACTGTAGTAATATTTAAAATTTATTTAATAAATGCCTACATACTATTTATACATATATTTTTTTACATATATTTTTATACATATATTATTTTTTACATATATTTACTATATGTATATTTACACACATTATATACATTTTTATAATATACATACATATTTACTATTTGTAAATACATATACATATTTACTGTATGTATATATATGAATATAGTAAATATACATATATATTTATACATATACTTGTATCAAGCACAGTTTGATCTACACTTAACGTTACTATTTAAAAAAAATGTTTTTTTAGATTTTATTTATTTATTTGACAGAGGGAAAGAGAGCACAGCAGAGGGAAGTGCAGGCAGAGGGAGAGAGAGAAGCAGGCTCCCTACAGAGCAGGGAGCCAATGTGGGTCTCAATCCCAGAACCCCAGGATCATGACCTGAGCCAAAGGCAGATGCTTAAATGATTGAGCCACCCAGGCACCCCTAATGTTACTGTCATATTTATTTAATACTTATGATAACCATGTGATGTAGATATAGATACAAATATTTCACCAATTTTATAAATGAGGAAACTGAAGGACATAACCATAGCACAAGTCAAGTACGTAAGAAATTATGGAAATCAGGAAATTGTTTTATAGTAGATAAAAAACTTCTCCAAGATGCTCCAATAGATTTCCAAATTCTTATAAATATTCTGTGAAAAAAACTTTTTAAAAAGCTTGATAATGCTGGCTTACATGTGATGAGATAATAAAAAACATATATAATGATCTGTGCCCCCAGCTTCTGGCACAGAGCCCCTAAAATCCTTGTAGCTTCCTACGCAGTGAGAGCACTAAGAACATCTTTTGTTCTAATATTTGGTCTTTGACCCCAGTTTTTGACACAGAGCTCCTAAACCCCTTGGAATTTCCTTGGTGATAGGAGTGTCTTGTGTTCTAATAAGGTGACTCTTGGTAGGCTCCTGGGTGGGGGATGGCCCACCAGAAAGACCAACCCATGTTTAGAAGCTTGGAATATATTCAGCCTTATTTCCAATCTCCAGAGAGGGGAGAGGGACTAGAAAGGGAGTCAATGATCAATCAGGCCTACATGATGGCCTACATAAAAATCTGACAACTGTGAGGTTCAGATTACTTCTGTTAAATACGTGGAAGTACTGAGAGAATGGAGTGCCTGGGAGGAGGCGAGTCATGGAAGCTCTGTGCCCCTTCCCACACAGCTTACCTTACATATCTCTCCCAATTGGACATCTGTATTTTTTTTAATATTGTTTTATAATAAACTGGTAAACAGTGTTTTAAAAAAGAAACAACAAAAAGAGTCACTTGGGCTAAGCTTCATGTCAGCAAACCAAGCCTTAATGCCTAACCTAATTGCAGTTCTTAATCGCCTCTCCCAAGAACGTGAGCTTTAACCAGCAATGTCGAATACTTGGTCAGCACTAGTGAGCTAATCTGCCTGACTGACTCCTGCTTTCCCTCAAAGGAAGGTGCCCTTGCCTGAAATAATCCACTCTTGGCAGAAACTTCCTTGCTCTGCTTCCTTCTGCCCATAAATGTTTTCCATTTTTGTAGAGCTCCTTGGAGCTCTTTTCTATCTGCTAGATGGAAGGCTGCCTGACGTGAATCATTAAAAAAAGCCAATTAGATCTTCACTTAGTTGAATTTTGTTTTTTAACAACCAGTAAGTAAATTGTTTTACTGAGTTCTGTGAGCCATTCTAGCAAATTAATCAAAGAGGAGGGGGTCCTGAAAACCTCCTAGGTATCAGAGTCACAGGTGATAATTTGGGCTGGTGATTAGCATTTGAGGAGGCTGGGTTGTGGGACTGAGCCCTTCACCTGTGACATCTGACACTACCCTTAGGTACATGGTGTCAGAGTTCAATCAAACTATAGGACACCCAATTGGTGTCTCAGAGATTGACTTGGAAAACCCCCGCACTTCTGGTCAGAGCATGGCGACAAGGGTGGTCGCGTGAGAGGAGAAGAGGTACAGAGCAGGAGAACTGGTAGTGAATTATACCTCAATAAAGCTGTTTTTAAAAAAGGTGTGATTCCTGTGGCTTTTGTAAAATGCATCTCATACTCCAATAGCTGCAAGCACAATTTGAGGTTTGTTCTCATCCGTATTTGAATTTGCATCAATGGGTATTTTGAGGGAGAAAGCATGAGGAGTTGGTCTGGGAAAAACTTTCCAAACTACTCATGGTAGCAAGACAAACACAGGTGTTTTAAGACTCATTCATTTTTGTTTTCGGAGTTGAAAGGGATCAATGAGATAAAAGAACTGTTGACCTTACACTGTTTTATACAATGTACTTATGAGTTTGTCACAAACAAGAAAGGGCTGGGGAAAAATGGCTCACGGGTCACGAGGAATTTATGAAGGTAACAAAGAGCTAGAAGGTAGTTTTCTAGAGATAGCTCTATTAGGACATGCCCAAGGAGTCTTTTAGGTGTTAAGTCAACTACATAGTGATTTTTAGCTTTATTCTTTCTCCTCCCTTCTGTGGTATTTAAGTTGACTAAATATTTTGGTCTTTCAAATATATTATATGGTCTTTCATATTTTAAGTTTTAAAGTGTTTTTATATAATTTGGCCTTATGTGTCATATTTTATACTTTCAAAATTTAATAACAAATTACACACATATATAAATCTGCATGTGTGTGCCTGTATGTATATGTGTGTGTATGCATTTGTACCTTGGTTGAACCTGAGAAAAAATGAATAGCATGCTATTATTGCCCAATTCTTGCTTTAGATTTAAGACTTGGTGACTGGTGCTGGCAATGTAGGAACGTTGGTATGTCTTGTTAAATTCTTTCTTGGAGAGATGCTACTTAAAAACAGGTACAGCTACCCAGGAGGCTACCTTTTTTGGGTAGAAATGTGCTAGAGAGGGGGCAGAGATTCTAAGGCCAACAGATAAGAAAGAGATTCCAGTAAGCAGCTCTTAAAATTCTTGGTCCCTGGAGAGGCGAGGAGAGGACTGGCTGTCCCTGAGCCAGCAGGTTTTGCTCATTTCTGAGAAACCTTGGGATAACAGCTCTGGTTGGCGGAGGGCCACATGGTCCTTCTGCCAAAGTACACATAGCATGTGGTCCTCCCCATCTGTAACTCTAGAGCCTAGACCAACTGAGCAAGAGGTGTTTGTAATGTCACCCCTCCTCAGTTGGAACATTAGGAAATGTGATTATCAGTAGGACTTTTGGGCTGAGGTTTTCTTCCAGGGAAAGGAAAAGAAGGAAACCATTTCTGTACGTTGGTAAGAAGATGTTGTTGAAACACTCTCATTGAAATCAACACTAATTAGGAATTCTTAGGACAGAATGTGAAACCAGTTTGTAGTCATCTGATGTATACATGAGGAAATTGCAGCCCAGAAATGTTCGATAACTTAGTTATGATGTAAGTGAGCTAATGCAGAACTAGTTCTAGGACCTGGCTCCCCCACTTCCAGACTCATAGTGGCTCCATTTTACTGCTATCAGAGTTTGGTTCAATAGCTTCTGGTTTTTGTTCTAATTAAGTGAGGTTGTATTTGTAACTGCTGCTGTTCGTCTTTGGTGCCTCAGGGTTTCATATTATGCAGGTCTGGCAGCATGAGTGAAGACTTAGAAAAAGAGCCCAATACAAAGCAGCAAAAACCTATAGCAAACTATTTGCTTTCTGGCCAAAAATTGATGGGAGAATTCTTTATCATGGGATCAAGAGAGTACAGGAGATTATCTTTACTGATTTTCTTATGCTTCCAACTAAGGCTTAGTTCTCTTTTCATTGACTTCTCTTATATTTCCTGAGATTTTCTAAGACATTGGTGCAGTTTAATGAATTTAGAATCCTTTGCCAAATCTCCAGTGTCCTCATGACCTAAAATAAGAATGTTAGAATTCCTGAGCACTATTTAAAGACTGGAAGGAGGTTTGCATGGTTTACTGACGTTTCTTCCAGTATGTTCTCATTCTTAAGGTGGATATTGTCCTAAATCAGAATGTAATGGTGGAAATCACCTGAGTTTTGAAATCTGGATTTGAATTCTGGTTTCACTACTTACTGGTTGGTAGGACAGGTTATTTAACCTTTCTGCATCTCAGTTTCCTAATCTATAAGCTGAGCAAGTAGACCAGATGGTAATGCATCTGGTCCTGAACTACCCATGCACTGCATGGTCCATGTGAGAGAAGGTTTGGATACCTTAGCCAGGTTCAGCTGACCTCTTACCCTCTTACTTTTCTCACCATTATTATTATTTTTTTATCACCTCCCCCCCCTTTTTTTTTTTCATGTTTGCCTCATTCCTTTCCTGCTGTCTTTATTTCCCATCATTGACTCTGAGTTTGCCTCTCGTGCTTGCAGACTGGTTTTCCTTCCTTAGTGTTTTGGGTTTCAATACAGTCACAAGCATACTTTCCTGATACCCTCTTCTCCATTACCAGTGGGAGTTTGGGGCTGAGGTTTTTTTCCAGGGAAAAGAAAAGAAATAAACCATGCCTGTACATTGATAAGATGATATTAAAGCACTCTTACTGAAATAAACTCTAATTAGGAATTCTTAGGACAGAACTTCAAAGCAGTTTGTAGTCATCCAACATACAGATGGGAAAAGTGTATTTCTAATTGGTTACTCACCCAATCAAGACCTAGCCCCAGGAATCCACCCTGATTCACTCCAGAACTGTCAGAAGGATAGATGAGAATGGAAACAAACCATGATTAGGAAGCATTGCCTGGTAGAGGCTAAGTGTGAAGATGCTAAATTCTTCTATACTGCAGCAGTGAGGATCATGGCCACATAATGCCAGAGCAGGGCCACCTCATGTGGGAGACAGGGCTGGTGGGAGTCATAAGAGGTTAATGAGGAAGGTGGACAATCATGTGTCTCATTGCTTCACTGCTACTTCCAGCTCATTCCTCCTGAGATTCCTTTACTCCTTCAAAGGGTGAAAAGACAATAATTACAAACCCAGCGCCCATCAGCTGTACGCTGGGGATGGGATTCCACTGCCGCTTCCCCGGGCACACTGCTTTTGCTCTCCCGCAGTTCCTTTCATCCGAATTGTCCCCACAGTCATTTTCTCCATTGCATTCTAACTTGTTGGCAATGCAGCGGCCTGGTCAAGAAAAGCAAATGACGTTAACAACACGTGATTATTCAAGATGTTTATTGCTTTGAAATAAGTGAGTGCTTTAAATTTCAAGGGAGAGTTGTGAGGAAAATTTTCACTATTTTTGATACAGATTTAGGAAATATGGAAATGGATGCCAAACTGATATTTTCCCCTTATTTTTGTAGGATTACAAGAGTACTGTAGAATTTAGTTACCATTGGGCTGATTGTCTTAATAAGAGAAGTAATTCTAGAATCCCAATCCCATGACAGTGAGCTTGCTGCAGAAACCATGTTCTGTACGTTCAGGCTTTTGTTTTGATTCAGAACAACAAACTCAAGGTCACTATTCTTATTTTTTAGAAAACCCTATAATTTAATACACACACACACACACACACACACGATAATATCACTATATCTCTAAAATTTTATGTTGAGTGAAAGAAGCCAGACATATAGCTTAAGAGCCATGCTATGTGATTTTTTTATCTTATGTTCAGGAACATAAAATTTATTATATCTAATTGTTTTTTGAACAAGTTAAAAAAAGCAATTCTTTAAACCACTAGGTACTACAGGGTTAAGTAGCAGGTTAAGTGAGTGAATTTACAAAATAGTACAAACTCCATTTACTTAGATAATTCCCTTCCTTTTTAAATTTCCTGAATTTCATAAGGATCCTTAGAATCAGTGTATATTAATCTGTTACAGAAATTGAAATGGCTTATGTACAAGACAGCCCCTCTCCTGTCCCTCAGCCTCTTGTCTATAATCAGGGATGCTGGCATCTGTACGATTATGTATAGGTCTCACTGACAATGAGATTGAATTAAATGTTTTACTCAAGATCATCTGATTAATTACTTTAAGTTGTAATCAGCATCTCACTGCAGCTATGCATAACTATTTTTTTTAAGATTTTATTTATTTATTCATGAGAGACACACACACAGAGAGAGGCAGGGACACAGGCAGAGGAAGAAGCAGGCTCCATGCAGGGAGCCTGATGTGGGACTCGATCCTGGGACTCCAGGATCACACCCTGGGCCAAAGGCAAGCACTAAACTGCTGAGCCACCCAGGGATCCCCTATGCATAACTATTTTGACTAACTGAAATGCTTGGGGGAAATTTGGTATTCTGTTGAATTAAATTTTTTTATTAATAGAAAGTTTTCCAGAAAACACTTAGTTTCAACTCTTTTGGTAAATAATCTTCAATAAGAAGGTAGAGAAAAATGGAAGTAATTAAGTCTCTTTCTCTGATTATTCAAAATTTTGTATTGTATCTGGACCATAATTATAAAGAATTATAGTTGTGAGCACCATAATCAAACAAGACTGAATATATTAAGGGAACTGGATGTCTGCGAGTCCCAAGATATTACCTGAAAGATGGTTTGTTTTTAAAATAGCACATCTCTAGTGTTTTGTTTGTTTGCTTTTTTTAGGGCGGAAAAGAGTATGTAATTTAGTTTGAAATAGAGATGCTTTATCCAAAGGAGAAAAAGAACAAATACTACATTTTTTAAAAGTTTTGAAACTCACCCTTTTAAATTTGAGCAAATCTAATTTCTGATATGGTTACACTAAAAAAAAAAAAAAAGGAAATCTCATTTTATCAGGCAGAGGTAGGGACATACGTGCAGGGTATCGTTCTCATTAGCCTAGCTTTGTGAGCAAGGAAACAGTTGTGTATGAATATAAGAAATTCTATTCATTTGGTACTTCTGGGGATATTGAAGAGGAGTGATTAGCAAGGGTAGGGATGAAATCCAGAGGACTTCTTTTGAGTGATGTTTAGGAATGGGTGGCAGGAGTGATAGAGGTCAGATAGGGCACAGCTGAGAATGGTTCCAGGCCACAGAAACTCAATAGAATAGGAAACACAAGGGGAGAAATATTGTAAGCCATAAATATATCCCATACCAAAGAAGGAATAGGAAAGGTGAAGGGCAGTTTGGATAGTGCAGGATTTGCAGAGGTCAGCATGCTTTAGCCAATGCATGCATATATGAATATATATATATTTATACCTGGAGATATGTATCACTTAGAAATCGTACATGTTTTTCCTATTTACTTGAACATTTGTGTTACTGCAATGGTATAGTATATGTATAACAAGCTACAGCTTCTCTTGTCTTTATGCTTAAAGTTAGGACTTTGAGAGAGGAATTGATATAGTGTGAGTTGTGATTATTAGTCTTGTGGGTAATTCTCAAAGATCCACATGTGCATTAAAATCATATATTTAGTCTTGAGGGACTCGAACAGCAATCATGAGGGAGGAAAGGGAAAAGGGAAACTCACTTTAGGATAAATAGTTCTTTGTTAATTGAGAGCCAGGCATCCTATTGAGTCCATACAAGCTTTTATTTCTTTTGAGAAGGGCATTAATGGATGATTTTACACTAGGTCTTAGCCCAAAGGCTGAAAAGCAATAGTGGCTGATTTTAGAAAAGCAAAGTAGTATATAATCTGCAATGAAATATTTAACAATCCATAGGCCATGGCACTGATCAAAACGAATGCCAACCACATCTGTGGCAGGGATCATGCATTTAATGGCTGGATCATGGGAAGACCTAAGGATTCCTGGTGAAGGGACCTGAACAGCAGAGCAGGGGTCACCAAGAGAGCTCAGGGTAGCAGCTGCTTACCATACATTGCATACACATTTCAATAGTCAGGTTTTTTTTTTTAATCACTTGCTGGGTATATTAATGATGAACTAAAGATCACCTGTCCTTATACCACTAGCTTTCCTGAAATCACTTCTTATGAATGGGTGGGCCATTGATGTACCTAAAGGCTTCTCAAACTTGTGAATATTTTTGGCCTAAACAAAATAGACCTTCTGTAATAAATTTCATAGATCTAGCATCCATTGTATAAAGGGGTTCTTTCTGGTAATTAGTTTCAAAGCTATCTTTCAAGCTTCAAATAGTTGTATCTCAGTTCTAAACCTTTATCTTAATATTCTGGATTTAATGCCTAAGTCTGAAAAAAAAATGCCTAAGTCTGTATTCCACTCAGCCATTGCCAGTAAGGTTGTTTTCATATTCCTTCTTTTGTCAACTTGTGACCTGACCTTATGCATGTAGCCATGAAGTGTGTCTTCCTACCCATGTGCCACCCTCATATCCCAGGTGTGAGGGGTACAGTGGGAAAATTCCAACACCAGCATTCCTGTCCAACTTTCAGAAAAGGTCAACAAAGCTAAAGGCAGGAAGCAAGGAGCAAGAGGAGAGAAACACTAGATCTAAGGTCTGGAGTCAATTTTTCTATGGAATTTGAAATCTGCTACTTAGTTACAAATACTGTACTTTTCATTGTATTCCAGAGTACATAAAAGTGATATGGATCCCAATTTTAATGTCAAATTGATTATTTAGGTAAGAGGTTAGTGAACTCTGGTGGAAAGCAGGAAGCAGAACCAAAACTCACCTGCTGCCCGATTTCGTAAGCAAAATTTGACTGGAACACAGCCATACCCATTTGTTTACATGCTATCTGTGGCAGCTCTGATGCTATAGTGCCAGACTTGAGTAGTTGCAACAAAGAACATACGGCCAAAAAGCCTAAAATATTTACTGTCTGGACCTTTACAGAAAAAAGTTTGCAGAAATCAGATTTAGGGAGTTCAAAATGGTGGTGTTGAAGAGCTATTAATTAGCAAGAGAATACATAGGATTAAGCAGTATATTCAAGTATATTGATTTATAATCTAGTGAAACTTAAATACATGAATGAATAATGGATGTGACTATTGCCATCGTTTAAATCATTTTCAATTTTCCCTTTGGAATTACCTTTGGAGCCATTCAATGGACCACAAGAAAATCTGCCACATTATCTCTAGTCACCTCTCTGACATAATATCTTAATCTTAATATTCTTATCTTAATAAACTATATTGAAGATCTTTTAAATCTGTCACTCTTCTTCAGCTGCTTGTTCTGGTCATAGATTTGTACTCATTAATAGCTGATTTTTATGAGTATGTGCCTTCTCTTCATCCTGCTTTATCACAGTATAGGGACCTGGGCACCAGTACTTGGAGAGCAAATGGATAGGGTGCTGGTCAAGATAATTATAGCCTGAGAGCTATAATTTTATACATGAATGGCTTGACAATTGGGACCATAACACCCCTGTCTCCATGCTTAAAACATGGTGGGACTTCTCTGTCATGGCTTTTACTGGTAGTCAACTGGAATAACTTTATTGTCAAGTCATTTCTGGTAGAGATTGAACATCTCCTAAAGTACATTACCACTATCACAGCGGAACTTATTCTTGCAGTCAATCTCTTCAATTTTACAGAGCTTAGATGGAATGCATGGTTGAAAGGTCACCAGGGGCTCAGTACATGGTTGTCCTCCAAACTGACTGGGGCGCAAGATGGATCTCACCTTAAACTGAAAGGAAAGAAGAGAACAATGAGGGGACTTGGAGGCAGGGTCAAGCCAAAAGTATCTAAGAAAACTGGGCTTCTTCATCACAGCGGTGATTCCTCCTCCATTAATGTTTCCTAAATTAACTAAAGAGTTTTCCAGTTCCATTATTGTGTGCCCTTAGGGAAATCATCACCTCTCTGGGCCTCAGTTTTCCAAATCATAAAATGAGAAAGCAGTACAAAAGATTTCTAAGACTTCTAACTCTGAAACCATGTGAAAATAAATCAAATGCATGAATATTTATGGAGTATCTTGCATGCAGTAAATCTAGGCAGTAACATTAGCACTTTTAAAGATTGATCTATTTATTTTAGAGAGAGACAGAGCACAAGCATGAGGAAGAGAGGGAGAGTGAATTTCAAGCAGCCTCCATGAGTGTGGAGCCCAATGTGAGGCTCGATTCCATGACCCTGAGATCATGACCAGAGCGGAAACCAAGAGCCAGGGACTTAACTTACTGTACGACCCAGGTGCCCCACAGTAGCCCTTGTATATCTCAAAGGTCCTATGAAGTAATCAATTTGAAAGGATTTGAGGGTTCCTCTGCATAAGGAAGTCAGCATGGAAACCCAGGTTGATGGGACGGACCCCTGGGTGGCTCAGTGGTTGAGTGTCTGTCTTTGGCTTGTGTCGTGATCCTGGGGTTCCAGTATCAAATCCTGTGTCGGGTTCCCTGTGAGGAGCCTGCTTCTCCCTCTACCTGTGTCTCTGCCTCTCTCTCTCTCTGTCTCTCATGAATAAGCAAATAAAATCTTTTTTTTTTAAAAAAAGGAACCCAGGTTAACACATTCACATTTAAAGGATTTTAAATGGTGAGTAGTAAAACAGGGAGTCAGGGAAGGATAAGAATAGGACAGGATAAAAAATTACTGACTTTCAAGTTAGAAAAATCCAAGTTCAAAATATAGCGCCTCTATTCATCAGAGGTATATTCTTGGGAAAGTTACTTCTCCCTAAATGAGCTATAGCTTCCTCATCTGTAAAGGGAGTAGGAAAACACACTCTGATGTGAAGTTTGAATAAGATGATATAAGTAAAAAGCCTAGAACAGTTTCCCTCAGAGAGTGAGTCCTCCACAAAGTTTCTTTTTCTTTCCTAATGTGAGAATGCTCAGCACCACTCTGACTGCAATTTATGTGGGCCAATGCCCTCATAGGAATGAGCTAAGATGGGTAAATACTACAGCTAGGAACAACAAACAAATCAAGGGACTTTCCTGCGGGGAGAGGGAAATTAGAGGCAGGGCCAGGAGTCAGCCTTTTGATTAATGTCTCTCATTTGTATCTGATTTTAAATCTTGGACCGAAACCCCCGTTTTCTAGCATCTGCTTTTACTTTCTGAGCTCTCAGAGGAAATAGGCAGTAGAATTCAGAGCTCAGTAAGTACTATACCAGCACTGGGGGCAAAATTTCCTCTTGGTCCTCCTATGATAGTAAACCATGTAAATGAGTTCTGCTACCCCCCCCCCCCAGAATAAAAGATTGCTAAATGGAATTTTCCATCAATGGAAGCTGAGATGGCTTATTTTTAGACATTGATGAACCTAACCTAACATTGATGTTAGGTTATCCAAGTCTTTTATTATGATTCAGATCTCCTGAAGATATCCATGGGTCACCTACCTGTTTTTCAACACAAGGGTCACAGTCAGACCATGGTCCATAATCTCCCAGGAGGCAGTTGATGGGACAATGTTGCCAGTTACATTCTCTGGTCTCCGACTTAGTGCAAAGCTGGTCACAAAAGTTATCCAGATAGTACTGATCAACTACTATTTTTCTGTAATAGTGAGGAGAAAGAGGTTTAGATTGAATATATTCACTGTCCTTCAAGCCCCATAAGAAAAATATCATTAAACATCAACCACTATTAATGAAAGGAAAAGTTTTCATGGAAAATCAGGCAGGTTGGCATCTGCGCAGTTCTTACCACTTAATGGAACTTAGGACTGGATTTTTAATTTGTGAGGCCAGTGCAAAATGAAAGTGAGGGGCGTCTTATTAAAAAAATTATTAAGAATTTTAAGACAGTAATGGCAGAGCATTGAGCCAAGCATGGAACCCTTCTAAGTAGGGTCCTGTGTGACTGAATAGTTCACACATCTATGAAGCTGGCCTTCAAGGAATTCTTGGAAAGGACTGGATGGAAAAGAAAAGAAAGTTCCTGCAAATTCCTTAAAATATGACAACACGGTTTGATAAGTATAAGGACTGAGACATAGTAAGAGTGCTGTGGGGCCAAAGATTCAAAGAGAAAGTAATAGAAGATATACACCTTGAAAAATTCACGAGTCCCCCAGACATCAAAGAAAAGGGCATGTGGAAGGAAAGGCATATGCCAAGATTAGAGGTGGAGGAGCATGATGGGTCCCTGGTGGAGCTTGTGGGAGGGACCTGGGCAGCGCTGGCTGAGAGGATCCTGATATGTTGTTGTGCTTTATTTGGTAGGCAGTGGAGAGCTACAGAGGGACTCTTGAGTGAAGGAGTCTTAAAAGCTTTAACATACTTAGAGGATGGTTTATTGAGGAAGTCAGTTGATGATTTTAATGAGACTCACATTGCGCGTGTAAAAACAGTTTTCTAAAGTAGGTCTCTAAAAAGCTGTAATAATGAAAAAACATTAAATATATGCCTTTGTTCCCAAGTTATGTGAGCATCTCCATGGAACAGAGACATCTAACAGATTTAAAGAAACTGTGGGGGATAAGTACTCTGAATCGGTGAGAAGACTGAATTATTAAATGTTATCAAGTAAACACAGTTTTCTTGCCATCTTGTATTTGCCAACAATCAAGCTAATAGCTAATAGCGCTGCTCAATTGAGGTCCTGTTAGACTCAGTTTAATGAGTAGAAAATTCTCTATAATTAACTCACTAACTGTAGGCAAGCAGTTATACACTGATTGAAAAAGGCTTGAGTAGTGATTCTTAGTAAGTTAAATAGTCAACAGAAAATATTGCACATATTCTTAACTAAATTTCTTTGAAGCCCCTTGATTTTATGGAGAGAACAAATGTAGACTTCAGTTCAACCTTATGCAGAAAAGACCTCAAATTCTATCCAAATCAAATTCTATGATTTCTTACTTTGGGATTGCTTAGTGTGGGATTTTTGATATTTTTAAGTCTATCTGTGAGGGGGCGGGGCAAGATAGTGGAGGAGTAGGGTCCTCAAGCCACCTGTCCCCACCAACTTACCTCGATAACTTTCTAAGTCTGTCTGTGAGGTTTCCCATGGCACAAACACAATCTACACAGCTCACACTCACCTCTGTCTGCTCTGGGTTCCAAAATTGCAGGTTTTTGAGCAGCTGGACCACTGACTCCATGGGTAATGATCACAGAAACAGGGTTGGCATTTGTCAATCAGAGCACTCAGGAGAATGAAATACAAGATGGAGTGTCTAGCCATGCCTTGAAAGCCTCTAAGCCCTGAAGAGGAATGATGTACATCAAATGCCTTTTGGAGGTAAAACTTATAAGTCATTCTCAATTACAGACTCAGATGTTAGAAAACATTTGCATCTCCTTGCCTTCCTTAAGGCTAGTTAATACATATAAATTCACATACTTATGACTAGAAATCCTGCTTTTAAATATTTTTAGAGTGGATATTTCCAGAGTTACAACTCCCAGTTCTAGGAAGTTTCTCTGAATTGTCAGTAATAGCCTATAAGACAAGGTACTGTAGTATGCATTTGTAGCACATTTCATTCCAAAATGGAAATTCTTGGGCAGCCTGGGTGGCTCAGTGGTTTAGCACCACCTTCGGTCCAGAACGTGATCCTGGAATCCCAGTATCAAGTCCCACATCCGGCTTCCTGCATGGAGCCTGCTTTTCCCTCTGCCTATGACTCTGCCTCTCTCTCTCTCTCTCTCTCTCTCTCTCTCTCTCTGTCTCTCATGAATAAATAAATAAAATCTAAAAAAAAATTCTTATATAATCTTATAATTTAAAAAAAATATTTATTTATTTATTTATTTGAGAGACAGAGAGTGAGCATGAAAGTGGGGGAGAAGCACAGAGGAGGGAGAGAGATAGAATCCATGCTGAGCACAGAGCCCATCGTTAGACTCCACATGGGGCTCTCATGGTCCAAGATCATGACTTGAACCAAAATCAAGAGTTGGATGCTCAACCAATTATCTCTACCTATGGAGTCATAGAAGTTAGAGCTGAAATGAATCTTTGACATCTCCAGGTTAAACCCCCTCATGGCACGGATGATGAAACTGGGGCTTCAGGAGGGGCAATAATGCTGAGACTACATAACAACTTAGATCCCAGAACTCCTCATTCTTGGATGAGGTGCATCCCTTCATTGAATTTCTGATCACACTAACGATGTGTTACTGGAGCATCTAGATGCCTTGAACTCCACCACCTAGGCCACAAGAGCATTTATCCAGATGTAGCTGAATGATAGAGAAAACTTTGATCAGCGGCTCCCCTGTGTGCTGTGGAGCCTTGAGGATCTGCCAGCTATTGAAAGGAACTTGCAAAACCACCTCTTGCCCCCAGTGTTGCTATTTTGATCCTTATATCTTTAACAAAACATGCAACATTATTAAATACACAGAGAAAATGCTGTTGTATTTTATTAATATAGTAACTTTCATTTAAAGAGCTAAAAAGTCATTCATTTAATTTATTTTTTGTTTTTAAAGACTTATTTATTATTTTAGAGGGGGTTGGAGGAGCAGAGGGAGAGGGACAAGCAGATGTGGGGCTCGATCTCACAACCCAGAGATCATGACCTGAGCTGAAACCAGGAGTTGGATGCCTTACCAGCTGAGCCACCCAGGTGCCCAGCCATTCTTTTAATTTTTGTGTCTCAGTTTCATTATCTATAAAACCATCAGTAACACTCTACCTTCTTTATAAGACTTTTTTGTTAGGCTTCAGTAAGAAAATTCATGCAAAGTGCTTAGAACAATCTTTGGCAAGGAATCATCACTCAATAAAAATTAGTTTTTCAAGTTAGTAATAACATTTAAGAGTGTTACAAATTTAATGGTAGCTGTTGCTCATGCATTTTTCAAAATTAGTGGCTACTTAAGTGAAGCAAGGATCATGTGAAAGCCAAAAATGTGTTTTGATATTAAATAAGGCTATTTGCATTCAAAACAACTTAGAAATATGGCTTTAGTTGCTTTTCATCTTACAAATAAAATCAGATCTCTGACCATTTTATTTGAAATTGTAATTCCCCACCAGTGTTTCCTATGCCCCTTCAAAGCTTTATTTTTCTTTGTTATACATCCCCTTTTGATATATAAATTATTACTTAAGTTTAAATAAATATCTCCTCTTCCCTCTCTCCTTCATCAGCATGTAAACACGCTGGTTCTTGGTCTCTTTTGTCTGTTGAATTCATTTCAGCATTTAGAAGAATGAGAGCAAGCATAGCATATAATGAATAAATATTTTTGAATTGGGTCTTGGAAATAGTTTAGAAATGGGTTTTTATGAAATATGAATATCATAATTTGAGTCCATAATTAGAGCCACTTTTGTAACACTATTCTCAAAGTTTCTGCCAAATTAAAGATATTTCATAGACCTCAGAAATGATCTTCTCTGTTCAATTGTCTTCCATTGTTTTAGCCAGAGTGATAGTTTGTAACATAACTGCTTTATCTCAGCTTTGTTGTAATAGTTGATTGAAATAAAAAAAACTACAGCTTTTGAGATTCAGATTTCTTTTTAAAGCACCTGTAATTTATTTAGTCTGCCTTTTATTTATTTGATAACATTTATTAAGTTCTAAACTATATCAAGATGTATGAAGAAGAAAATTAACATAGCTTATAATATAATCAACCAGAAAATTTCTGCTGACATTCAAAAAAAGTAAAAATAACACACGTCTATATTTGAAAATTTTGAACAGAACAGAAAGAAAAATATAAGCCAGAGTTCTCTTCTACCTGAAACCATGACCTCTTCCCACACATAATCACTGTTTTCTTTTTTTTTTTTTTTTTTGGTATCCAACTGAGGGAAAATTCTTCCATATATTATCTTACACATATACATGTATGCATGTTCTTTAAATATATACACAAAAAGAGGACATATGATGTGCCCTACTCTGTAGTTTGCTGTTTTTACTGAGTAATATACTTTGAAAATCTTTCTATATTGATAGATGCATATCTACTGCATCTTTTTAGTGGCTGCATAGTTTTATACCATGTGGATGTATTACACTGGATTTAACTATTTCCTAATTTTAGACATTTAGTATATACACACACTGCAATAAACATCATCGCACTGTATACTTTCGTAGTAGATCCATGGGATCAGTGGGTGTGTTCCTAGCAGTTGATGGCTTAGTCAAATGATATGAAATTTAAAATATTAGTAGATATTGCCAAGTTGCCTTACTGAAATATGCCTCCCTCAAATGTTTCAGAGGGTAAGTTTCTGATTATATTTTAATGTGGTCATTTTCTTTGTGTCGCAGTAAAAAAATTCTTCAGCAAAAAAAAAAAATGAGGATCATTCTATAAATCTTCATTCAAACCAAGAGTGTGAGATCAGATATAAAAATTATTTCTCCAATATGCTCAGACTTGACAGCATTTCTTCTTAATAAATTAGTGAGATTTTTACACTTCCCTACAAGCCCAGAGAAAAATGCTAGAATAAAAGCAACCAAAATCGTTGACATGTGACTGAATGTCCTTCAATTTAAAATGAAAATGACATACATTTGAGTATCCATTGTATACTGCTAGGCATTGAATGAAATACAAATAATAGAATCCATTATCGCTGTCTGGGGAGGGTAGACAGAAACTGAGGATTCTTCCCATGCTTTTTTATCCAAGTTTTTTTTTTTTTAATGCAACTCATAGGTAGGCTGCTACTTATCTAAAAGCTGTTACTTCTCTTTCGAATCCAAAAATTAAAGATTGCTGCATTTGCCTACTGATTTTTGTTCACTGGTAAGTAACTCACCTTTCCTGGTTTTTCCAGGCAGCACAGAACTATAGAACATTGAGCCAAAGAGTGTCCAGACAAAATTTAGCCTGTGATCAGGAGAAAAGTGAGTCTTAAATAATCAGACTCAAACTCCAGATTGGGTGGTTTTTCACCACTTTCATTGGTGGTTTTTCACTGGACCTTCGTTGCTGAGACTCCTAACAATGTGAAATTTCCCCCTTAACCAACCACCTGACTAATCACCTTCCTACCCTCCAACCCTCAACTAGGAATCCTCTCATACAGGAACTGCTTCAACAAAGGAGCCTAACAGGAGAGGGTTTTGTTGTTTTTACTGTTGCTGTTGTTTATTTATTTTTCTTATTAGATTTTGAAGAGATCATTTTCTTCCAGAATAATTCCTTCAACTGTAGAGAAAGCAAATTCTTAAAGTATTTTGTTGAATCAGCATGTAGATGATTGAGAGAAGTTAAATTACCAGTTGTCAGTTCTCAGCAGATGATATCTGTTTCCACTTCCAAAAACTCAAAAAGCATTGATGGACTTTATTCCAACTAAGAGCAAAAACTTCAAGAACAGAACCCTTATAAAATTATTCCAACCTCTTCTCTGGCTATAACTCTTCTGAGGCGATTTGGAAGAATGCTATAAATTAAGATGATAGGGTCTAAGCTTCTTATTTGAGGAGCTGATAATAAAATAACTAATTGATATCTTCTCCTTTAATACCATTTGATTGTTATGAGGAAAAATTGTTTTATGTTAAAAGGATAATTTTCATTCCAATAAAGATAATTATTTCTCTAAATTTGTTATTACCATGGCCCAGCATAAAATATCAGATGTTTCCTTATTTATTAATTTTCAACATCTCTAGGCTTTTTGGAAATATCTACAATGACATATGGGCATTTTACCCATTACCATACAATTTTCGTAGAAACATGGAACAAAAGAATGTTCAGTAAGAAGAGAAGGCTGGAAAAATCTTCTGCTCTGGTGCCATGGTGGAAGAGCAGCAGCCATACATCTCTCTTGAACTCTAAAAATCAGTGATCTCACTGAACCATTGAAGATGGCTTTGTGAGCATTTGGAGAATTTTAGTGTAGAGTGAAGTCCATTTCATTCTGATCTGTCACCTTCTAATGTACTTGCCTCACATGAATGTGTCTATAAGGCAGTTTGGCATATCTTACCCGACAGGTTAGAGGATGCTCTAGTTTGCCCTCAGCAGCAGGTTCTTTCTTTCTGTCTCCTTGTGAATTTCTTGAATCTCTTTATTTAATGTTTTTTTCTTCTATGCATGCCCCAGAATCTCGAGAAATGATACTTACCATTGCTAGGGCAGGCTAGGGAGTCCAGGCACATGACTCATCTTTTGGTTAAAGGATATGTTTGCTTTACTTTTTAACTCTAGTTTAACTCATAGAAAAAACTTGATCTCAACAAAGTAGTTCTCTGGAAGGATAGTTCTTTAAGAAACATGAACCTTTAGTTCTTATGATATTTAAGCAAAGTAGTTACTTCTTATTTTAAAAGAAAGGCAAATGATCTAAGGTATGTATTTTTGTTCATGAAAGGGTAAGTTTGTTGGAAACATGATCCATGATTTTGAAATAGTAAGATTATGAATGAAATCATTATATCACTCACCTTTAAACAGTTTTGGTGTCCAGAGAGCTAATCCTCAGGTGGCTGAAAAAAAAAAATAGGTCGCAATGAAAATGGTTTACATTATAATCCAAACAAAACTTCTCCCTCCTATTGCTAGCTAACACAGGCCCTATCCCACAGGTCTAACAATACCCAGGGTGTTGTCAAAATAAATACTCTGTGGAAACTCTGGACTTTGTAAACGATTACCTCAAACAGCAGTAACCCTGAAACTCTGGGATTCTGAATTTTCAGTGATTCTCCCATTCAAAGAATATTGTAATAGGTATTGCTCTTGCAAAAAAAAAAAAAAAAAAAAAAAGAAAGAAAAGAAAAAGAAATCTCTGACTCTATTTTTAAAAACCACTTAGAATAAATTGCTTAAAATTGTCTTCCCCTTTAGGAATGTGTCCAGTTAATTAAAACATGTATTGATTTTTTTATTGTATTTGTTGAGAAGATTTAGGAAATATGGAAAAGTGTGAAGGGAAGATTAAAATCATTTTTAATAACCAGACAAAAATTACTCCAATATTTGGAGTAAACACTCCCAGTCATATTATATGTATGTGTGTGTCTCTATGTAAGTATACACATGCACAGGAATATACATACATATATAATTTTGTAAGTGATATCACATATTTTTTAAAGATTGTTTTTTAAAAGTTTTTATTTATTTATTCATGAGAGACACAGAGAGAGAGGTAGAGACATAGGCAGAAGGAGAAGCAGGCTCCCTGTGGGGAACCTAATGTGGAACTCCATCCCAGGACCCCGGGGTCATGACCAGAGCCAAAGACAGATGCTCAACCACTGAGCCACCCAGGTGCCCCTATTTTTTAAAGATTTAAATACACAGAATAGATTACATTCCACAGCCTATAAAACCATATCATCATTGGTCTATGCAAGATCTTCTTTTATTTCATGATTTCCCCCCATGATCTTGTTTCATTTCTTTCCCGAATTAGTTACATGTGTTAATGTATTTGAAATTTGTCCTTATATACTATTATCTAGATATATGTCTACCCTTAAAAATATAGTCTCATTATCCATGTATATTTTTGTAATTTACAGAAATGGTACTTTGCTAAAAGTTTTATTTGATTTCTTACTTTTTTCATTTAGCATTATGCTCTGAGCCTTATTCAAGGTAATTCTATTGAAGCATAGACATTCATTGTATCAACCACATTTTACTTATTTACTCTCTCAGCACCGACTTTTGTTGACTTTGACTCCCTGCAACTATAAACACAAGATATTTTTCACTGTGAATCTGTGAGAAAATTCCTAGAACCTCCCACGTTACTCTTCAGAAAAACTGTACACATTGACACTCTTAGCAGGAGCCCAAGAGAGCTTCTAACTGGCAAGTTCTCAACTTGCAAGTATTTATTGTTGCCAACCTATTGACCTTACATCTGACATGTAATAGGATATCTCGCTGTTGGTTAAGTGGGGTGTCTCTGGTCAATTGTGAGCTTCAGCGTCCCTTTGTTCTCATTGGATATTCTGATTTCCTATCTGAAAATTGAAAATTAATATTCCCCCATTATTTTTCTATTGTGCTTCTTTGCTTTCATTGCCTGACTTTTAGATATGCTCCATACATTCTAGGTATCAATGATTTTAAGGATTTTTAAGTGTCTCTTCTTTCAATCTGTCACTTTGCTTTGGATAATTTTTCTTTTGCTTAGGAAATTACTTTGTTTAAGAAATTTGAAGTCACAGATACATTCCTAAATTTGCATCAGTTACTCTTATAGTTTTATATTTCATAAGGAGTCTTAATCCTCTGTGGTCACACTGTATTTTTATAAATGGTGTGAGGTGGAATAAAGTAAGTAAAATAAAACCCAAGACACTTATAATTATTTAATAAATGAATAAAAACATTTATGAAAACTTAGTGATGGGGGATCCCTGGGTTGCTCAGTGGTTTGGCACCTGCCTTTGGCCCAGGGCACGATCCTGGAGTCCCAGGATCGAGTTCTGTATCAGGCTCCCGGCATGGAGCCTGCTTCTCCCTCTGCCTGTGTATCTGCCTCTCTCTCTCTCTCTCTCTCTCTCTCTCATAAATAAATAAATAAATAAATAAATAAATAAATAAATAATATTTTTTTTTTTTTAGAAAGAAAACTTAGTGACTTTGGTGACATGCGGTAACTACACTTATTGTGGTGAGCATTTCATGTGTGTAATTATTGAATTCCTATGTTGCACACCTGAAATAATATATGTCAACTATACTTCAATTCAAAAGTTAAAAAAACTCAACAATTATGCATGATTAAAACTTCCATTGGGGCACCTGGGTGGCTCAGTTGGTTAGGCATCTGACCCTTGATTTTGGCTCAGGTCATGATCTCAGAGTCCTAGGATTGAGTCCTGCATCAAGTTCTGTGCTCAGCATGGAGTCAGCTTTTCCCTCTCCCTCTGCATACCTCTTCCCCATCAAATTAATTAATTAATTAATTAATATCTTTTAAAAACTTTCATCAAAATAGAAACAGAAGATAAATTCTTAATCTGACAAAAGATATCTACAAAAAACTTGTAGCTAACATCGTAGTGGAAAAATATTGAGCATTTTTTCCTAAGTTCAGAAAAGAGAAAAGGATGCCTACTATCACTACATTTATTCAGTATTGTACTGGAGATCCTATGGTATTACTTATAGACAACATGATTATGTATATAGAAAATCCAAAGGAATCTAGAGATATATTGAAATTAATAAATGAATTTAATAAAATTGTTGCATACAGTTTATTATGTAAATGTTTATCATAGAAAAAGATGTCTCTATAAACCAGCAAAAGCAAATATAAAATTTAATCTGTAAAGTTTTAAAATAGCATCTAAAAGTGTACTCTTTACATCTAATTATGATTTTACTTCTATGAGAGGTTCACAATAGTTTGAGATTGGCTAATATGTATATTATGCTAAGGTGAAGCAGAACAAAATGGTGCAATAAAAAAAGAAAACTATGGCAATGGAGAATGTGGAGACTTATATTTTCCTCTTGATTTTGCAATAACCAACTATATGATTTTCAGCAAATCACTTTACTTCATTAAATTTTTTCCTCTTTTGGAAATATGTATTTCTCAAACATTTCTCAAAACAGTAGAAGACTTTAAAAAATATTAATTATCCCAAATATGGAAAACAGCTAAAACAAACATTTCTCAAACAACTTATATTTTCACCATGTGGTGGGAAATGATTATCTGAGCAAGTCTAAGCATTCTTTGAAATACAGTGGGAGACCTCTGCTCCAAGGTAACATGCTTTAACATGCATGGTAGTAACTTACTCAAGACCAGAGTAAGTCAGAACCAGAATACAAGTACCTGGTTCACAGTCTGCTTTCTTTCTCCTATATTGCGCTGAGGCTTTAAAGATTGAGATTTCAGGCTAAGAAGAAAAACAGAGTAGTGTGCCTTAGATCTCTGTTGAATACACATTGGGGCTGTGGGACAGGAGTTTCACCCTTCAGGATCTGAGAAAGTTAACAGGAGAAAAAGATACATATGGTGATGGGGCAAGAAAATAAGTATGTACACTTCTTTTTCTAGTTGGTTCTTTGAGGCCCTAAAATTAAATACATTTTTTCCTATGGTCATGGTATTTGGAGCAAAGGGCAAATGCTAGCAGTCATAACCTAGAGAGATAAAAGTCAGAAGCCAATAGGATGAGCCTAAGAAGTGTTGCTAAGTAATGTGGGCTATGAGGAGGACAGAGAAATGAGAAGATTGTGTTCCATGGCACTAGAAAAACATAGGTGGTGGGATTTAAATGTGGTATGGAGGAATTGTTGAGATGGAGTATCTTTTCAGTGATGTACATGGGTTCTCCATCTTGAGTCTCTGTGGATGGTTAAATGACACATCCCACTCAAGGTCTTTTCTAGATCACTGATTGGTAAACTACAGCCAAGAAGGCAAATCTAGCTTGTTACTTGTTTTACAAATAGAGTTTTATTGAAATGAAGTCACACAATTAGTCATTGTCCACAGCTCCTTTTGTACTATAGCAGTAGAGTTGAATAGTTGCAAAGGAGACTATATAACTTGCAAAACCTAGAGTATTTACTATTTGACCCTTTATAGAAAAAGTTTTCTGAACCCTGAAACCCAGAGGGAGAGATTTCTGGTCTGATCAACACAACCACAATGTCCAATTGGCTTTGAGAAATAGGTGTAGAAATAGGTTGGTTTTGTTTGTTTGTTTGTTTGTTAATGATGAATGAGTGGTTGTTCCAGAGCTACAAATTGGATGTGTGCAATTATGCTCAGGTATGCATCTGTGCAAGAATATGACTGCTCTCTAAACGATATTTGGACACATGCTACCGAGAAACAAAGTATACTATGAAAATTGCCAGTTGAACTATTTCAGCTATTGCAGGTCTTCTAAAGTGTTGGCTGGTGACATGGAATACCCTTTTATGTATTTATTTTTTAATTTTGTTTATTGGAGTTCAATTTGCCAACATACAGCATAACACCCAGTGCTCATCCTGCCAAGTGCCCCCCTCAGTGCCCATCACCCAGTCACCCCAACCCCCCGCCCACCTCCCCTTCCACTACCCCTTGTTCAATTCCCAGTTAGGTGTCGCTCACGTTTTGCCACCCTCACTGATATTTTCACTAATTTTCTCTCCTTTCCCTTTCACTAATTTTTATTGGAATACCTTTTTAAATAAAATGCTCTATATCTGTATAATGCAGAAAGTTGCTAGTGAGCTTAAATGTGTAGACTGACCAGCGGAAAAGGCCTTTCTTATAAAGGAACAGAAGGGTGTATAAGGAAATTAGAGCCAGGACATGGAAAGTTAAAATGGACCAATTATAATTTTTCCACACTAGAATATGTATTCTGTTAAAAATCTTCATTCCTCTCTTAATGATGATAGATTCACAGCCAAATGGTATTTTCTGCCAAGAAAATAACCCCAAACATAAGATAATGAACAGTGCAAGCTGCTATCTGAAGGCTTTTTCGTACGCTAAGTATCCACATGC